AGTGCCTAAGTAGACACAGGTACGTAGAAAAGTCGTTTAAGCTTAGACGAGACGGGATTCGAACCCACCACATTAGAAAGAACCAATTTGCCTCGCCCGCCGTGCTTCGGATAAAAAATGTAAACATTGCCGTCATTTAGCTCTACATAAAGTGTTGTTCATAGTCGTCCACGTTCAGAGCTTCAGCATTGTCCTTTTAAAATAATTAAGAGATTCTCAACAACCTATTCCACGGTGAACAGAAAAAAAATGTCACAGAAAAATTGTAGTAAAAAATTCAGAAAAGAAAAAAATATATTGGGAAATAACGTCACAGAAAAAAAGTTACAGAAATAAAGTCAGAGAAATAAATTCACAGAAAAAAAGCTACAGGAATAGAGTTACACAAAAAGTCACAGAAATAAAGGCACAGAAATAATTTCATAGGAAAAAGTAACAGAAATATAGCGAATTGTTGAGAATTGTAACATTTTTTGTGTTTATGATTATGGATGATGATTTTAGTAACATATTTATAAACTGTAAAAGCGTTATGGTTTTTGATCATAATGCTTTTGATCGTCACAAAATTTAAAGTACTATAAGATAATTTACGCAGCAGTCTCAAATTTTGTTACAAATTTATTTAAATACCTGGTAGAAAAATTAATTATAAAAGAAATGTACGCACCTTGTTTTGTGTGTTGTTGGTCTTTTATTAGCCAACATAGTGTATTGTTGATGTTTGGCTTCAAAGGCAGCCTTTTTACCGTGTTAGTCTTTTGGCTCCATCTTATGCTTGCTGATGTAATGTGGGAGGTATTAAAACATTTTTTATCAAAGGTATCCAACATATGACCCACGCTTTTCTATATAGTTATTTAAATAATAGTGTATAATTTATTTTCTACTTTTTAGTGCATTATTACATAAACGCTTGCTATTAAAACATTATTTATTAATTTTTTTTTGACTGCATAAGAAAATATTTCAGTTTAAAATGACAAATCATGTATGAAATTGTTTTTGCAGGCAGCTATCTATGGACTACAATTTTGGATTCGAATGCTTTCCCCGAGGGGCAGACTGCAGTGTACAGGATATTAAAAAAATTTGCTGCGATCAAACGACCTGTAGGTAAAATAATGTTCTTAAATCGCGCGAGAAATACAAGCGATTACTATGTAGATATTTCATATACCCAGCTATTCTGCTGGTAAGTGTTATAACTTATGATATCCACACCCATAGCCATAGCCATAGCCATAGCCATAGCCATAGCCATAGCCATAGCCATAGCCATAGCCATAGCCATAGCCATAGCCATAGCCATAGCCATAGCCATAGCCATAGCCATAGCCATAGCCATAGCCATAGCCATAGCCATAGCCATAGCCATAGCCATAGCCATAGCCATAGCCATAGCCATAGCCATAGCCATAGCCATAGCCATAGCCATAGCCATAGCCATAGCCATAGCCATAGCCATAGCCATAGCCATAGCCATAGCCATAGCCATAGCCATAGCCATAGCCATAGCCATAGCCATAGCCATAGCCATAGCCATAGCCATAGCCATAGCCATAGCCATAGCCATAGCCATAGCCATAGCCATAGCCATAGCCATAGCCATAGCCATAGCCATAGCCATAGCCATAGCCATAGCCATAGCCATAGCCATAGCCATAGCCATAGCCATAGCCATAGCCATAGCCATAGCCATAGCCATAGCCATAGCCATAGCCATAGCCATAGCCATAGCCATAGCCATAGCCATAGCCATAGCCATAGCCATAGCCATAGCCATAGCCATAGCCATAGCCATAGCCATAGCCATAGCCATAGCCATAGCCATAGCCATAGCCATAGCCATAGCCATAGCCATAGCCATAGCCATAGCCATAGCCATAGCCATAGCCATAGCCATAGCCATAGCCATAGCCATAGCCATAGCCATAGCCATAGCCATAGCCATAGCCATAGCCATAGCCATAGCCATAGCCATAGCCATAGCCATAGCCATAGCCATAGCCATAGCCATAGCCATAGCCATAGCCATAGCCATAGCCATAGCCATAGCCATAGCCATAGCCATAGCCATAGCCATATGGAGTTGGAAGGACACTGGGCAGGTGAAGTAGAGTTGGCCTGTTTTTGTGACCTCAGCATTTGAAGGGATATTGTATTCGGACCTATGCTCAGCCAAAATCGGTGTTTTAAAAGACAAAAACGTCTGAGGTGTGACGTCTTTTTGAAAGCGGGGTCTGATTATTTTGTGATGATAAGTGACAGACGTGATGTCATTTATGGATGACCCCTGAAACCCACAGTTATCTAATGATAACGGGTAGCCTAGTAGAGATCTATAATCATGCTTTGAGCTGTGCTCGTTTTTAACGTTACAAATGACTGAGGTAACACATACATTAAAATTATATATAATTTGATAATTTAAATAGGTTAGTTTTGAAGTTTCATTTAATAATTGACATTCTGTGAGTGGCATATTTTTTACTTGTTAAGTTAGGATACTTTTTTTGTACCCGAAGGTCAAGATTGTAGTAGAGATTAAACTATCGTTCTGACCTTTTGCAATTGAAAGAATTTTGTGGTCAGTTCTATCTATATTAACAAAAAAAAAAACGAATTGTATTTTCTTCCTTAGTTATGATGCTACGAAAGTACCTCCATCTCAATGCAGGCCAAGCAAATAAAGATTCTCTGGTTGATAAAGCTGTTAGTTCAAAAATGCCCATGAAATAAAAGAAAAACTATTCAATAAATATTGTTTTTAGCTTTTATCTTTCAATATATATATATATATATATATATATATATATATATATATATATATATATATATATATATATATATATATATATATATATATATATATATTGATGTCTAATATGTAGTGATGTCTAATATGCAGTGATTTAGCAATTTTCACACTTCATTAAGGAGGCACCTCAGCGTCTCGTATTATATTACTGAATTTTATAATATTTAGATTAAATTTTAATGAGGTGTTTAAATTGATCAAAAAAGAAAATTCTTGAAATGTTACCTCCGACGAATGAATCTAGTAATCTCTGCATTAGTAGCGGATCAAAAGGAAAGTTACAATATATGCCATATCATGCAATTAAACCAGCATTGTAAACTCAATACAAGCTTATAAAAAGAAGGCATTCCGCAAATGTTCAGTTGTTTTTAACTTCATTGTAACAGCACTCTGTATCAGACTCGCCTCTCAGATGAACTGTAGCAGTATCTGCTCACCTAAACGTAAAAAAAAGCCCATCTGTCCTAAGTTTAACATGGACCGTTACAGTATCTACTCACCTAAACATAACAAAAAGCCCATCTGTCCTAAGTTTAACATGGACCGTTACAGTATCTATTCACCTAAACATAACAAAAGCCCATCTGTCCTAAGTTCAACATGGACCGTTACAGTATCTATTCACCTAAACATAACAAAAAGCCCATCTGTCGTTGGTTTAACATGGACCGTAACAATATCTACTCACGTAAACACAGCAAAAAGCCCATCTGTTCTTTTGTTTAACATGGACCTTAACAATATCTACACACCTAAACATAACAAAAAGCCCATCTGTCGTTGGTTTAACATGGACCGTAACAATATCTACTCACGTAAACACAACAAAAAGCCCATCTGTTCTTTTGTTTAACAAGGACCGTAACCGTATCTACTCACCTAAACATAACAAAAAGCCCATATGTCCTTGGTTTAACATGAGCGTTTGCGACAACGCAAGCCTATTCTCTGCGGTGTTTACATACGACATCACACATATTATATAATTTAGGGGTCATTATAAATTATTTCACACTTTTAGGGGTTTAGGCGTTTTGTGACAACGCGCAACATCAGTTACGGCGGACCGCTAAGTAGTCACCAATAGGGCTGGTAAGTAGGTCACCATCAAGTTACACAGCTCAATAAAACCTGCATGAGCTATAGAACTGGTTGATGACCTACTTACCAGCCCTATTGTTAGTGGAAAGAGGAAATTGGAATTTTTATGACGATGTTTGACGACACACTGTGCCCTTCAGTCTTTACTTTCCCTAATGCTAGTTAGGTACCCATCAGCGCTGGGTAGACTCAGGAACGTTTGATTGAATTGAACCCGGATTCGAACTCGAGACTTCCGGTTTAGCAATCTAGCTTTCTAAAGCTAGGCCTCGGCGTCCAATATAAAGTACTTTTAGAAACCTAATTTTATCATTTTTTTCGCTTTTCAAAAGCTGGTTAAAATGTTCAATATAAATTGATTATTTAGGGCCTTCTTTATTTCATCTGGTATTTCATCTGGTGCTAGGGCCTTGTCGTGACTGGCAGTTTGTGTATCCTGACCCGAGAGCCAGAGGCGTAGCGACCCTTCCCGGCGCCCGGGGACAAACTTTTTGATTTGCACCCTCCTCAAGATTCCGATTTGCACCCCCCTCAAACTTTCGATTTGCACCCCCCTCAACCTTTCAATTTATTTTTCCAACACATTTTGGCGCCCCCTAAGAGTCAATGGCCTCAATGGCGCATAACCTGTTGACACGTAATCCTTAATTGTGATGGAAGCATGGTCGAGTCGGCAAAGCTCATGATTGATATATTCGAAAAAAAAGTCTCGAGTTCAAACCCTCATGCAGTTAAGGCTCGATCCCTCCCAATACTAAAAATTAAGAACGAAGAAGAAGGACCAGGGGAAAAATGGATCTCCTGATGGAAAATTTATGAAGCCGGGTGGTGAAAGCCAATATGTATTGGAAACTACATAACTTATTTTGACAGAGCTCAAAAATAGGTTCGAAAAAAAAATGTTTTAAACAATCGAAACTGAGGTGTGAGGTTATTTTTAGATATGGGGGAGGAGGGTGGAATTTTTTTTTAACATTAATCGAGCAATTACACGACATCAATGTGGATATTTGATTTTTTTAAATAAACGTTTTACACTCAATGGTACTCACAAGAAAACATACAATTTTAATTGGGTCATTTAATAATTATTACAAAAAATTTAATTCAATTACATTTAAATAATACATAAAAATCAACAAAAACCAGTACTTTGTGATCATTCAAATTTTTAGACCTTGGCCCTCGTGTGTTCTATATAAGAGAAACGTAAGAAAATTAAGCCTATATGCGAGCAATGAATTATTCCGTTTGTCAACATCAAACGCCAGACACAATAGCGCTAAAATACTGAGATTTTCTGCGGCGATTAGATCACTTGAGCCTCATCGAGTATCCTCCTCTCCTCTTCCTCCTCTTCAAGTTTCTGTGTCTCCTCCCTCAGCCTCTCTTGTCGCTCCGTCAGCTTACAGTACACCAGGTAGGTGGACACGATGAAGGTCAACAAAATGGTCAGGAATGACGTAATCTGAAAGGTCAAGGTTGAACATTTTTATTGAAATAAAAAGTGGGGTGTCTTCAATATAGTGATACATTATGTAATATGAAAGGTCAAAGTTGAAAATTTTATGTGAAATCATAACTGGAGGGTCAACACAATGGTCAGTAATGACGTCATCTGAAAGGTCAAAGTTCAACATTAAAATTGAAATCAAAAGTGGAATGTCCTCAATAAAGTGAGACATTTTACAATCTAAAAGGTCAAAGTTGAACGGGAACAGATTAAAGATAGGTTGAACGAAATGTTCAAGAATCGTCTAATCTAAAAGGTCATAGTGAAACAGTATAATTTACTTAGAAAATTAAAGCAAAATTGACAAGAATGATGTAATGACGTTTGAATTTTTGCTTATAAGGGTGTTGAGAGGGCCAAGATTGATGTAATTAATCTGAAAATTCAAAGATGAACAGAACAAGAGACATGATAAGTTCAATGAAATACTTAAGAATCGATCGTGTAATCCAAAGTAAAATTGGAACAGAGTAAGATTATAAGTACATTCACCAAAATGGAAAAAATGATGTCATACAAATTGTACAAATCGTAGGCACAAACCATGTACACATCAGCTTACCTTTATGTCCACATCATATACACTCCATGTACACATCAGCTTACAATTGAGTACACATGCACATATCATGTACACATGAGCTTACCTTTATGTACAACTCATGTGTTTCCCAGACATCAACGAACCATACACGGAACCAAGCTAAGCAGCACGGCATGAAGGCTTCACTCTGTCTAGATTCCCTGCATCTGTGGATAAATGACATTTAGTTGACATTTGACATTTGTACAACATGACATTTAACCAGACACGGAACCAAGCTAGGCAGCAAGGCATGAAGGCTTCACTCTGTCTAGATTCCCTGCATCTGCGGGACAAATGACATTTAGTTGACATTTGACATCTGTACAAGATGACATTTAACCAGGCACGGCATAAAGGCTTCACTCTGTCTAGATTCTCTACATCTGTGGGACAAATGACATTTAGTTGACATTTGACATCTGGACAACATGACATTTAACCAGACACGGAACCAAGCTAGGCAGCACGGCATGAATGCCTTATTTTGTCTAGACTCTCTACATCTGTGGACAGATGACATTTACTTGACATTTGACATTTGTACAACATGACATTTAACCAGACACGGAACCAAGCTAGGCAGCACGGCATGAAGGCTTCACTCTGTCTAGACTCTCTACATCTGTGGGACAAATGACATTTAGTTGACATTTGATTGACATCTGTACAATATGACATTTAACCAGACAAGGCATGAAGTCTTCACTGTCTAGACTCTCTACATCTGTGGGACAAATGACATTTAGTTGACATTTGATTGACACAAGTGCAACATGACGGCATGAATGCTTTCTCCTGTTTCGGCGTGACCTTTTTAATTAAAAAATCGCAGGTGAAGTGGAGTTAACTGTAATTGTAAAGACGTGGTTGCGTGATAGAATCCAGAAATACTAACTATAGAGTCTCGAGTTCGGATCCAAATTCAAGTCTGCAGTATATTCCCTGGTCCAATGTTCTCTGATGGGTTGCTGACGTAGTTCAGGAGAGTAGAAGTTGCTGGATTTTTAACATATAACCGACCACATTGTAGATTCATATACCTAGGTCGTATCATAAGCAATACGAATTTGAACGTAGCTCTAGACATATAGGGCTGATCTTAATTGTAGTTAAAGACGCATTTTTCTAAACAGTTTTGAAATCTTATTTCGAGAATTACAGAAAATAACTATTTTCAAAATTGGTCTTCTTGTATTACCAGTTTAGACTAGATCTAACCCGGGCTCGATACAGAGTTTCTTCCAGGCTCCCCACCCTCGAAGAAAGTCTACCACCCCCTCCCAACAAAATGAAATTTAAATAGAAACCATAAACTATTTAGTCCGTCCCCCCCACCCCCTAAATATCAAGTGCCCACCCCCCGGAGAAAATAGTCTGAAAGAAACACTGGCTACAAAAGGTCTGCTTACCTGGCATACAGTTCCAGCAGTAGAGAAACCCGGTTCTTGTAAATGGTGTTGGTGATCCTCAGCAACATCCAACACCCTATGTTGACAGGGACACCCTCCTCCACCATGTAGGCTAAGTTAAATAAGGCCTGGGGGTTTGGATTGTGGGGAAGGTGGCGGTTAGAATGATTTTTCTATTAAAAAAAATGAGTGCCATGCAAAAATTTAAGAAATTACCTGTCGATTAAAGTATGAAAATATATGCCAACTCGTACATGGTATATATCGTTTATGATAAATAATAGTTTTATTATATCTTTTTAAACTCTAAAAATAAACTAATAAACTCATTAAAACATTTTATGTCAATTATTCACATACTTTGAACTAATTATGGATGATTATGTCAGCTATTCAAATATATTTGAATTTCATTTTCGTGCATCCAATTATTTATTTCCACTGCAGTAGGGGAAGCAATCATGTAGAAAAACCTATGTTATTAGTATGCTCTATATCTATTTTGTTTTACAACAGCACAAGTTAAAACACGTTTATTTAAACAAAATGTTACCTGCGGGTTTCCTTTCATGGCCGCCCTACAGTAATTCATCGCCGCTTCATCCAGGTCTCTTGATTTTTGCTTGCAGCCGTACCACAAGTAGTCTCCCATCTTCAAGTAAGCTGACCGCCAAGAAAAATAAGATTATTTTCTTTGTTAACAATCGAAGTGCCGGTTTAAATACAACTGATAAACCCGGAGAGTGTATCGCTTAAAATGTGCATTCTGTATCAGGGAATTGTTTTGCTTGAGGATCAAATGTTTTCAGTAAGATCTCCCCTCCTCCCCCTTCCATAACACCCCCGAACCCATTCCTCTAATGCACTAAAGTATCATTAGTTAAATTTTTTTATATTAGATGTATGGCTCCATCACAAATTACACCGTGCGCCTGTATTTACAAGAATTTTATTATCATCAAAATTTATCTAAAACCTAAACCCCACATTCCCAAACTAATGATATTACTTACAAATTACCAAACTAATGATATTACTTACACATTACCAAACTAATGATATTACTTCCACATTGCCAAACTACTGAGTTCAGTTACAGCAGAGGCGTAGCAAGGGGGGGGGGGGGGGAGGGGAGCGGGGGTACATATGTCCCCGCGCGCGGACCTTAGGGGGGGGGGCAAAATGGGTTGTAAAAATATCATTTTGGCTGCATTTTTGCATTGTAAATATAATAAAATATATATGGGGGGGGGAGGGTGCAAATTAAAAGTTAAAGTTTGAGGGGGATGCAAATCGACAGAAGTTTGAGAGGTGTGGGGGGGGGGGGGGGTTTGTGTGTGCATATTGAAAATTGAAAGGTTGCTCCCGAGGGGGGCGCCAAATTGAAAGTTTGTCCCCGGGCGCCGGGAAGGGTCGCGACGCCTCTGAGTTACAGTTAGCATCAAAACACTAATGACATCTTTACAGTAAGCATCAGCAAACTACTAACATCACTTACACATCATCAAACTACTGACATCACACATCACCAAAATACTGACATCACACATCACCAAACTACTGAGATCACACATCACCAAACAACTGACATCCCATACATCACCAAACTAATGGCATCACACATCACCAAAGCTTACATCACTTACACATTACTAAACTACTGACATCACACATCACCAAACTACTAACATCACACACCACCAAAGAACTAACATCACTTACAGTAAGCATCAACAAACTGAAACTCCCTCTGTACAGTCATGTTGTAATGCCTAAACTCACATTCCTTTGATATAAATGCCGTTACGCCACCCTATAAACAAACCAATAGTTACGTTATTAATGCCCTAATGCATTAAATCATTAAAAAAAAAGAATATTTTTTAATAATAATTAGTTCATTGGCAAAACAGCTAAAGTGAATTTATTTCATTTTGCGGGTTATTGATTTTTAAATTATCATAATTGGTTATGTTATTTTTCGATTTAGAATTTTTACTTTCTCGTATATACGAAGTATAGAGAAAGTCTTGTAATCGTGCAAAAAAAAAAATCGAGATTTTTGCAAATCTGGACGTTTTGCATCTCACTGATACGGAAAAACATAATTTTGCAATCTTGTCCGTATGTCTGTGTGTCTGTGTGTGTGTGTGTGTGTGTGTGTGTGTGTGTGTCCGTGTGTAAACACGATAACTTGAGTACCGTTACAGCTAGGTTGATGAAATTTCATATATAAGTATTTTATCAAAATCGTAGATCCGTATCAACTTTTGAGCGATTTCCGACAACCGGAAGTGGTACTTTTTCTACTTTGAATTTTTCAAAAGCCTATAACTTGAGTACTATTTCAGATAGATAAATGAAATTTCATACGTAAGTAAAAGATCTAATTCTCTACCTTCTATTAAATTTTGAGTCATTTCCGTTGACTGGAAGTAGTACTTTACGCTACTTCCGATTTCTCAAAAAACTAATGTAAATTTTAAAAGTAATAATAATATTGCGCACTATTATGCGCTTTTTTATTTCGCGTTCACTTGGTGTGCAATTAATTTGTCTACGAGATTTTATTCTATTTTTAAAACTTTAAGTATTTAAAATGGATTAAAAATCATGTCTATAGCCCGAGTTCCCATCCCCTGTTATTTTATATAAGAATATTCGAGAAAGTTTAGGGGAGATCACTCCCGGTTTATTTACTATTAAATCATTAGCTTAGCATTAGATCGAAATCTAAATATTTTTGAAAGAAAAAACAGAAGAGTACAACACTTTAGATTTACAGTATTGAAATCTCTAGGTGGGTTTTTAAGGTTTTTTTTTATTTAGCTTGCTCATTATTTATGTATGTGGGTGTGTGTATGTCTGTGTGTATGTTTGTGTGAGTGTGGCTCCACAAATCATGAAATCTAAATTTAACTATTTAACTTTCCATTGTCCAATTGAGCTGAAATTTATCTTTTTCCTATAAAATTCTATTTTTTGGTGAGATTTCTTTCTGTTTAAAAAAAAAAAAACTCGATTTAGCAGGTTTAGCAAGTCAAATCTATTTACCTTGTTTTGTTCACACAAATATGCCAAGTTAAAACTGGCAACCTCTAGACCAGTATCGGCCAGCTGCATGTACAAATACAAGGCCAAATCACTAAGAAAAAAGACATTTTAATACCGTTGTTAGGGAATAGTTTGACAGCACGCTATTAAATTTTAGAATTACGACAATGACATAAAAATTGAATAGGTATTATTTTAGGTAATTTTAACAAAAAATAAATGTTTAAAAATACAGATAAGTAGCCACATACATTTCTGCGAATTAGAGTTTTGAAATAAGTATTAAATGTTATCATCCATGAAGTTATAAACATAATATAGTTTACATACACAAATAAACCTACTAGTTCTTGTGAACCTGCACAACAAAACAACTAGTTTTTGCAACCTACATATTAAAACCTACAAGTTTTGTAACCTACACATCAAAACCTACTAGTTCTTGTGAACATACACAACAAAACCTACAAGTTTTGTAACCTACACATCAAAACCTACTAGTTTTTGTAATCTACATATCAAACCTACCAGTTCTTGTGAACCTGCACAACAAAACCTACCAGTTCTTGTGAACCTACACAACAAATTTTGTAACTTACATAAAAAAACCTACTAGTCCTTTTGAAACTACATAAAAAACCTACTAGTTTTTGTAACCAACACAACAAAACCTACTAGTTTTCATCTCTGTAAGCGTTGATGGCATTGCGGAGTGGTTTGGCCAGATTGCCATTTTTCTCAGCGATAAACCTGGCCCATCTGTGGATAAAAATGGCGTCTGTTGTAAAACTTGGATGGCTTTTGTTGTCATGGAAAATTTGTAAGATTTGTTGTCGTGAAAAAAGGGAAAAAAATGCTTCTTTATTGATATAAAACAATAAACTTGTAGGTAAAATTAATGAAAGTTTGAAAATTTTATATTAGTCAGAAAAAAGGGGTTTTGATTTCTAAAAAAAATTAATTCTGATGTTCAATATTTCGCTTTAAAATATCTTTGATGTCATTATTATTTACACAAACATGAGAAAATAGTAAATTTTTATACAAGGAAACATTTATTCTAAAGTACAAATAGGAGCTTTATATCATTCCATAGCAAATGACTTACTTTCGAATATTAAATCACAAACCAGCAATATAAAAAACTCCCCATAAATAAGCAGTATAAAAACTTACTCCCAAAAAAGCAGCAATATAAAAACGTCTCACGGTACCAGCAGTGTAAAATACTACCCAAAAAAACAGCAGTATAAAAACTTACTCCCCAACAAACCAACAGTATAAAATCTAACACCCTAACAAACCAGCACTATAAATACTTACTCGCCGGCTGACCGACTGTTCCTTGGATACTTTGGCGTCCCTCGCGACAAAAGAAAGGCGTAGTTGTCTCCCGCATCGATTTGATTCAGTCTAGCTGACCATAAGTACTGCTCCATAGCCTGGTCCTAGATTATAAAAAGTCATACATTTTAGCTGACCACAGGTACTGCTCCATAGCCTGGTCCTACATGATAAAAAGTCCTACATTTTAGCTGACCACAAGTACTGCTCCATAGCCTGGTCCTACATGATAAAAAGTCCTACATTTTAGCTGACCACAAGTACTGCTCCATAGCCTGGTCCTACATGATAAAAAGTCCTACATTTTAGCTGACCACAAGTACTGCTTCATAGCCTGGTCCTAGATTATAAAAAGTCATACATTTTAAAAAGTCATACATTTTAGCTGACCACAAGTACTGCTACATAGCCTGGTCCTAGATTATAAAAAGTCATACATTTTAAAAAGTCATACATTTAATCTGACCACAAGTACTGCTACATAGCCTGGTCCTATATTATAAAAAGTCATACATTTTAGCTGACCACAAGTACTGCTCCATAGCCTGGTCCTAGATTTTAAAAAGTCATACATTTTAGCTGACCACAAGTACTGCTACATAGCCTGGTCCTATATTACAAAAAGTCATACATTTTAGCTGACCACAAGTACTGCTCCATAGCCTGGTCCTAGATTTTAAAAAGTCATACATTTTAAAAAGTCATACATTTTAGCTGACCACAAGTACTGCTACATAGCCTGGTCCTATATTATAAAAAGTCATACATTTTAAAAAGTCATACATTTTAGCTGACCACAAGTACTGCTCCATAGCCTGGTCCTACGTTATATAAAGTCATACATTTTAAAGTCAAACATTTTAGCTGACCACAAGTACTGCTCCATAGCCTGGTCCTACATGATAAAAAGTCATACATTTTAAAAAGTCATACATTTTATCTGACGACAATTACTGCTCCATAGCCTGGTCTTACGTTATAAAAAGTCATACATTTTAAAAAGTCATACATTTTAGCTGACCACAAGTACTGCTCCATAGCCTGGTCCTACGTTATATAAAGTCATACATTTTAAAGTCAAACATTTTAGCTGACCACAAGTACTGCTCCATAGCCTGGTCCTACATGATAAAAAGTCATACATTTTAAAAAGTCATACATTTTATCTGACGACAATTACTGCTCCATAGCCTGGTCTTACGTTATAAAAAGTCATACATTTTAAAAAGTCATACATTTTAGCTGACCACAAGTACTGATCCATAGCCTGGTCCTACATGATGAAAAGTCAAACATTTTAAAAAGTCATAGATTTACAAAAGTCATACATTTTAGCTGACCACAAGTACTGCTCCATAGCCTGGTCCTACATGATAAAAAGTCATACATTTTAAAAAGTCATAGGCCTACATTTACAAAAGTCATACATTTTAGCTGACCACAAGTACTGCTACATAGCCTGGTCCTACATGATAAAAAGTCATACATTATAAAAAGTCATATATTTTAGCTGACCACAAGTACTGCTCCATAGCCTGGTCCTACATTATAAAAAAGTCATACATTTACAAAGTCTTACATTTTAGCTGACCACAAGTAATGCTCCATAGCCTTGTCCTACATTATAAAAAAGTCATACATTTTAAAAAGTCATACATTTTAAAAAGTCATACATTTCAGCTGACCACAAGTACTGCTCCATAGCCTGGCCCTACATTATAAAAAACTCATACATTGAGAAAAGTCATACATTTTAACTGACCATGAGTATGACACAGCGTTTGGTTCTTAAATTTTAAAAAGCCCTGCATTTTAGCTGACCGCAAGTACTTTTGGTCCTAAATTTTTAAAGTCATACATTTTAGCTGACCACAAGTATTGACACAGAAAAGTAAAGATTCTACTCAGACTTAACGCAAATGAAGTAAAGTTCACATGTTTCTTGATTTCTGCCTATGAATGGATGGTGTGGTCAGCACTATGACCAGCCGCCTTTACTTTCCCCAACGCATGTCAGGTACCCATCAGAGCTGGGCGGACTCAGAGACGTCTTACAATCCGAAAAGAGATCTGAACTTCGGGTTAGCAACAAAAGCTCTACCATCGACACATACATTGGTCCTCAATTTTTTTAAAGTTCTACCTTTTAGCTGACAACATCTAAAAATCATACATATTTGCTAATAACATCTATAAGTCATACAATATAGCTAACAACATCTAAAATGTCATACAATTTAGCTAGCACAACCTAGTAATAGACCATACAGAAGAAAAACGAAGATTCCAGTAATGTAAACTTTCTCTGAACTGACCAGATTGACAGGTGAGCCTGGCACCAGACCAAAGTGGTACATGTAGCCCAGGTAGTAGCCACTGTCCCTGTGGCCTAGAGTTTTGGCAATCTGGAACAGCCTGAAGGCCTCCGTGTAGTTCTTGTCTTCCTCCATAGCGAGCCAGCCGAGGGCAGAGACGGCATCGGGATTTTTCTGTGAAGATATTACACACATACATTATTGTTTTACATTTTTCTTAGAAATGTGTAAGATCTATGTATAAAATAAAAGTTTATAACATTCTTTTAAAAAATATATATAAAAACAATTTCATTCCATAAATGGTTAACAGTGTTTTATAGAATTATATAAGAACTATTTTATATAAGTATATTACATATGTTTTTCTATTGAAAATATAATACATCTTGTATAATATTGTAATATTTAAATATTTCTATGTTGAACTATGACGCAGATTTATCCACAGGAATATATATTATGTATATTTATTATGTTTTAATTTTCGTTTAAATTTTCTAAACTCAAGGTATTTTAATACTTATATTAAAGTCAGAGCCATTATAGACACATATTACTTATAGCTTAAGGAAATATATTATTTAAGATATATTTAAAAAAAAATTTCCATGGGTTTTCGTATAATAAAAATTAAAAATAATAATAATAAAAAAAAATCATTGTGAACTCTGTTGGTGAAGTCTTCATTAAAAAATATTTTAACCATTTCAGCTGCCTTCTGCATCATTATCCTGCCTTCAGTTTTGTTGGCTTGAGTTCCTAGTCCCTGAAACATGGAAGAAGAAAACAATTCTACAGATTTACTTCCCTTATTTGTTCTATAATTACATACAAAGGGAGACCAATGGGCTTAAAGGAAATAAAAACTGGATTTTAATAGTAGTTACCTCCTATGTAGTTTTCGAAACATTACTATACAGAACTGGCTATTTTTAATAGTGTAATACATTGTCCTTTATAATTTTCAATGTAATATAACGCACAACTAATGTAGTGAAAGTACTACAACTACTAGAGTACCAGCGCCATATTGTAATACGTCTGCCTCTGTACAGTGTACTAGCTTTTAGGATGGATGATACTAGGGTAAGGTATGGATGATTGTCAAACTGTACCAAACTGTAACAAACTGTACAAAACTGTACCCAAACTGTACCCAAACTGTACCTAACTGTACCTAACTGTACCCAAACTGTACCCAAACTGTACCCAAACTGTACCCAACTGTACCAAACTGTACCAAACTGTACCAAACTGTTCCCAAACTGTACCCAAACTGTACCCAAACTGTACCCAAACTGTACCAAACTGTACCAAACTTTACCAAACTGTACCCAAACTGTACCTAAACTGTACCCAAACTGTACCCAAACTGTACCTAACTGTACCTAACTGTACACAAACTGTACCCAAACTGTACCCAAACTGTACCAAACTGTACCTAACTTTACTAAACTGTACCCAAACTGTACCCAAACTGTACCCAAACTGTACCCAAACTGTACCCACACTGTACCCAAACTGTACCCAAACTGTACCCACACTGTACCCAAACTGTACCCAAACTGTACCCAAACTGTATCCAAACTGTACCAAACTGTACCCAAACTGTACCAAACTGTACCCAAACTGTACCCAAACTGTACCAAACTGTACCTAACTTTACTAAACTGTACCCAAACTGTACCCAAACTGTACCCAAACTGTACCCAAACTGTACCCACACTGTACCCAAACTGTACCCAAACTGTACCCACACTGTACCCAAACTGTACCCAAACTGTACCCAAACTGTATCCAAACTGTACCAAACTGTACCCAAACTGTACCAAACTGTACCCAAACTGTAACAAACTGTACCCAAACTGCACCCAAACTGTACCCAAACTGTACCCAAACTGTACCTACCCTGTACTGCATGAGGCCGTAGTTGAACATGGCGTCAACGTTCCCCGACTCCGCCCCTTCCCTGAAGATGTTGACAGCCGTCTGTAGGTTCCTCTTCAGTCCTCTGGCACCGTGGTACAGCAGGGCGCCAAGTTCTGACTGAAAGGTAAACAAAAATATACTCAGATGGTACAGCAAGGCGCCAAGTTCTGACTGAAAGGTAAACAAAAATATACTCAGATGGTACAGCAAGGCGCCAAATTCTGACTGAAAGGTAAACAACAATATACTCAGATGGTACAGCAGGGCGCCAAGTTCTGACTGAAAGGTAAACAACAATATACTCAGATGGTACAGCAGGGCGCCAAGTTCTGACTGAAAGGTAAACAAAAATATAATCAGATGGTACAGCAAGGCGCCAAGTTCTGACTGAAAGGTAAACAAAAATATAATCAGATGGTACAGCAAGGCGCCAAGTTCTGACTGAAAGGTAAACAAAAATATAATCAGATGGTACAGCAAGGCGCCAAGTTCTGACTGAAAGGTAAACAAAAATATAATCAGATGGTACAGCAGGGCGCCAAGTTCTGACTGAAAGGTAAACAAAAATATACTCAGATGGTACAGCAGGGCGCCAAGTTCTGACTGAAAGGTAAACAAAAATATACTCAGATGGTACAGCAAGGCGCCAAGTTCTGACTGAAAGGTAAACAAAAATATAATCAGATGGTACAGAAGGCGCCGAGTTCTGACTGAAAGGTAAACAAAAATATAATCAGATGGTACAGCAAGGCGCCAAGTTCTGACTGAAAGGTAAACAAAAATATAATCAGATGGTACAGCAAGGCGCCAAGTTCTGACTGAAAGGTAAACAAAAATATAATCAGATGGTACAGCAAGGCGCCAAGTTCTGACTGAAAGGTAAACAAAAATATAATCAGATGGTACAGCAAGGCGCCAAGTTCTGACTGAAATGTAAACAAAAATATCCTTATGCCAGCTGTTAGAGCAAGGGGCGCCAAATGCAGACTAAATTATAACATATAACAACAGGGTAGGGCAGTGGCTAAGGGCATTGTCATTTAAAACTTCTTCTTCTTCGTTCTTAATTTTAGTGGTGGAAGAGATCCCCTCCAACACAATAAAGTATACGTGTCAACTGGTTATGCGCCTGTGAGGCCATTGACTCCGATTTCAGCCTGCTTTTCTTTTTGGGTTTGCTTCCATAGCCTTTGTCCAACCAAGAACAAATTACAAGGTAGTAGTTGTTTGAATTTGGAGTTGTCTTTCCTAGAGAAGAGTGGCTGTCCCTTGCTAACGAGCCTCATCTGCCCGAGGCATTAAAAACAATATATTTGACATTTTTTTAAGTTAATTTTTTCTCCAGTATGTTCTGATATTATGAATGGTTGGTTAAATTCATTGATAAAACCAGGCTTATACACACTTTCTTTTAACACACTGGACGACTTGGCCATTGTTCTTATAAAGTCTTATGGAACAAATCATACACATTTTGTAATAGTGTGCGTTAGGTTATGGGGCGATAGTAGTAGTAATATTGGGGAGGGGTGGGGGGCTAAAAATGTCACATAAAACAAGTAGTGCTGAGAGTCTACGGAAATGATACAAAAAATTGTATAACCTCAAAGAATGGTTGAACATTATTTTAGTTTTGTATTTTATAATAGTCCGACCCCCAATATAAAAAAAAAAGTATTAAAACCCCCACCCCGGGTCACTGACCTGTGCTGTGGCCACGCCCTTCTCCGCCTGGTTCTTGAGCCACAAGAAGAAATCCCCCACCTCGCTGGTCATGCCGGCTATCTGGGCTTCATCGATCAGCCGGATGCTCTCTGTGGCGATCTGCGCCAATCAATTTAATTAACCAATTAACTTGTCAGTGCCGATAATAGACAGAAATCTCTTGTATGGCAGAACAGTGAGATTTGCACATATACGGCTAATAAAGCATCAATAAAACTCACTTTGTATTTAAAATTAGAAAAACATTTAATTTATACAATGGGGTCGTCCATAAATGACATCACATTTGTAGGGGGATTGGGGGGGGGGGGGTCCGTAATTTTGTGACGGTGTGTGATGAGGGTGGGCTCAGATGGTGCGACGTCACACTTTTGCATAATAAAAAAGCAATGTTAGAAAATGAATTTTAGACGTTATTTCGCGTTTTAGAAAACTGTTTTAATAGATTGTAATAGGAATTGATTAAAATACTCTATTTTGACATAGTTCAGACAAGATTTTTGAAGAATATCGATGTTTAAAAAAATTAATCTGCAATTATTTTTTTTTGGGGGGGGGGGGGGGTTGTAGGCTGAGGTGTGAAGTCATTTTAAGGGGGGTGGGTCTAGCTTTTTGTGACGATGTGTGACGGAGGGCAGGGGCAGGGTAAATGGATGACCCCTATGGTATTTAAAAATACGCGAAATATTAAAATGTTGATTAAGCCTTAGCTTGTAAAGTGTTAATCAATTTTTTAAAAAAGGATTTAAAAAAAATTAAAATATAAAAAAAAAAAAAAAAAAACATGCACCGGACTCTTTATAAATAAATTTATTGAGAAAACAATTTATAAAGAATACGGTGTATGTTTTTGTAGCTTTATATTGTAGCCGTACTTAAAAATAATGTAATAATTAAAATATTTTCACGTAAGGCTACAATGTTTTGCAAGTCTCTGTACTTAAAGTTTATGAAAACTATGATTGATCAAAATCAACGAAACAAACCCCAGAATCTTTATGTTCCTCTTTATCTGTTCTTGTCCTGTCTGCTACCTGCTTAAAATACACTACACAGAGAAAACACAAACATGAACAGAGGTGTATTTGATACAGTTCAAAGGTCGTTTTTTTTAAAAGAAATAATTTCAAAAATCATTTTACTGGAGGATAGGCGGGTGTATATATTTGGAGTGCGTTCCCTTTTTGGATTCATAGTTCACTCCGTCTCATCCCAACCCAACCTAAACCTAAAACTTAATTTAAACTCGAGCCTAAGTGTAAGCTGAGACCGAACTTATAATCTAATTTTAGCTGTAATTGTGTAACTGCCGTTTCGTGCCCCCCCCCACCCACCCTTTTTACAAAAATTATACTGGTTCAAAATTAGTAGAATGTCCCTGAATCCACCTAGCTCTGATGGGTACTTAACTTACGTTTTGGAAAGTAAAGGCGGCTGGGTATTGTGCTGACTAAACTATTCCTTCATATGCCGAGGTCTCTGAAACAGATGAACTCTACTTCATCTGACCTATGTGTCTTGGGCACGAACAGGAAAATAGACGAGAATGACCAATAACCAAATTCAGCCCAACAGGTTTAACATTAGGTTCAGCCTCAACTCAGATCAACTGGTTTAACACCTGGTTTAACCTCAATTCAGCCCAACATGCTTAACACTAGGTTCAACCAACTCAGACCAACAGGTTTAGCATCTAATCGAGCCTCAACTCAGACCAAAATGTTTACCACTAGGTTTAGCTTCAACTCAGACCAACAGGTTTAGCATCTGATCAAGTCTCAACTAATACCAACAGGTTAAACACAAGGTTTAGCCTCAACTCAGTCCAACAGGTTTAGCACAAGGTTTAACCAACTCAGCCCAACATGTTTACACCAGGTTTAGCCTCAACTCAGACCAACAGGTTTAAACAGAAGGTTTAGCCTCAACTCAGACCAAAATGTTTAACACTAGGTTTAACCAACTCAGACCAAAATGTTTAACACTGGGTTTAACCAACTCAGACCAAAATGTTTAACACTGGGTTTAACCAACTCAGCCCAACAGGTTTAGCACCAGGTTTAGCTTTAACTCAGCCCAACAGGTTTAGCACAAGGTTTAGCCACAACTCACTGTATGCCACGTCCAGGTCCACTGGTGCCCCGTCAATGCCCATCGTATGCCTGTGAGCCAGCGCCATGATGGAGAACACATGTCGGTTTAGCGTACCCAGCATGAAAAAGGCCAAACTCTGAAACAACAGGTCGATATTGGTTTGTGTATTCCCAATTAGCCTTATTAAGGTTTGTCTTTAATCAATTCACTTCTATTGGAAGGAAATACCTTATATATTTGACATAATATTGGAAAACAAATAGAAATTAAAATTTATGAAATTTTATTTTTAGTTTAAGAGTAATTACTGCGCAACGGAGTGGTCATAGCACATGTGAAGTAGAGTGCTGGTTATTTTACCCCTATTTATGTAGTGAATGTATTCTCATATCCGTGCTAAGGGGGCGGCGTGGTCGAGTCGGTAAAAGCTCATGGTTGCTAAACCGAAAAGTCTCGAGTTCGAACCCTCGGGCAGATGAGGCTCGTTAGCTGGGGACAGCCACTCTTCTCTAGGAGAGACAACTCCCTTCCAACACTAAAAATTAAGAACGAAGAAGAAGATCTTCGTGCTAATTAACGTTTGCCTGACTCGTCGTGTAATTAAATGAACAGCAGACATTTCTCTTGATTTCGACTAAATCCCACCTAAGTTTTTTTAATGGTTCTTAACTCTTTGTTTGTTGATCACTTAACGAAACCTAACTTTTGCAAATTTTAGTCTTAAATCCCAAGCTTAAGTACCTTATTGTTTCGACCGTATCTAAAACACAGTGTTTTAGTATGACAGTGTTGCTTTAAAAAAATATTTAATTCATTAACACATCAGTAATTTAGAAATTGAAGGTTTAAATAAAACTTTCGAAAACTTCCAGCTGACCATGCTTGTTGAGCTCAAATAAAAATGAAAAGAAATTGTCAATTCGTTGATCATCATTCAACATAGGCTGTCCGGCCCAGGAAAGAACTGTACAGAGACTCGTGTTAATAGGGCTGGTAAGTAGGTCACCAACCAGTTCTACGGCTCAATAAAACCTGCATGAGCTATAAGACTGCTTGGTGAACTACTTACCAGCCCTATTTCCAGTGTCGTCACCTGTCACTCACCTGTAGCTCATCCGCAGCCACGCCCACGCCATTGTTGAGCAGGACGGCCAGGGAGAACATGGCGTCATCGTTCCCCAGGCAGGCCGCCTGTCTCAACAGGTGAACGACTCGGCTGGCGTTTCTCAGGCCTTTCTCGCTCTAGGGGAAACAACTGGGTTTTAGATTTTGTTGCGTCCCTTTTAATACACTAATTGCACACATGTTGGCCTATATGTTTTACATTCAATTGGATATTGAAATTATATTTGACAGATGTGGTGCAGAGGTGTAGCGACCCTTCCCGGCGCCCGGGGACAGACTTTTCGATTTGAACCCCCCCCCCCCCTGAAACCCCCCCCCCCACCCCATCAAGATTTCGATTTGCACCCCCCGTCAAACTTTCTATTTGCACCCCCCTCAAACTTTCAATTTGCACCCCCCTCAACCTTTCAATTAATTTTTCCAACCCATTTTGGCGCCCCCTAAGGTCGGCGCCCGGGGACATATGTCCCCCCCTCGCCCCCCCCCCCCTCGCTACGCTACTGATGTGGTGTTGTTAGCACTTTCAGATAACACATGTGATGTAAATTAGGTTGTATCTACGTAACACAGCGCAGAAAACAGACAGTAAATTAAGAGAAATATGGGCGCTTCTATCATCACCATCTGGGCATATCAAAGCATGGGTTTAGTTGGTTATACAGCCAAACCCTAACTCTTTTCTTTATTCTTTTCATTTTTTCTTAAAGCCTTATTAAGACACTAGCTCTAATGTATCTGATTCTATACCCAATCTTAACCCCAAACAAAAAACACTGAAAGAAAATAATAACATTGCTTTGCTCTATAGGCAATCATACATGAACTAACGCATCTTAAATTATTTAACAAATAAGGCACTAGAAAGCAAATCTTATAGGTTATTGTTAAAATACTGTATCGTCTCCCTTTAATAAAGACTATATCTATAGGAAAAAAACAACAACAACTTACAACAATGCTAGTGGCCTCATCAATCAGACCAACAGAAATGTCGTGGAAGGCGTTCTTTGAGTCCTCTGTCTTGAAGTTCCTCGAGTAAGCTTCCAACCCGCCGTGCAGGAAGTTGGTTGACAGGCTGTGGGTTGACACAACCCGACGTAGCAGGCGGCTCACGTGACGGTGGTTGCGCAGGTTGAAGGGGTGGCGCGCTGGGCAGGTGGTGACGTCCTCGGGTTGGGTTCGGTATTTGGAGAAAAATGTCTGGGTTTCATACGGACAGGAATCTGGTATAGGAAAAAGTAAATATTTTATTTTAATTTTACTTTAAGGAAATGTGTGAGATTTATTAAAGAAAAATACGTTTGGAAAAAACGGTTGAATTATAACTATTCCTTTTAACGTGCTTTGGGGATAAGTATTAATCCGTTCTATTCTAAAAGCATGTGGTGATATTTAATTATTGCCAGGAGAAAAACTTAACTAATTCCAGATTTGTTATGAATCAGACAGACACACTCGGCCAACTGATTCAATTTACAAAACTACCTTAATTTTCATCCTGACCCTGTTGTCTAACTGACCCTTTTGAACAATGCACCCTACTTACATGTCCATCGTCTTATGTCGATTGACCCACTTTTACCACTGACACACACGTCGATTTACCAATACATCCCACTGTCCTTCTTGTCTGACCCACTGACCTACCTGTCTGACCCACTGACCAACCTACCCCACTGACCCACCTACCCCACTGACCCACCTACCCCACTGACCCACCTACCCCACTGACCCACCGACCCACCTGTCTGACCCACTGACCCACCCCACCGACCCACCTGTCCTCTGGCCTATCACATATCTGCTATATCTCTGATACACGTCAACAGCCGAGTCCATCCAGCCCAGAAAGTTCTGGCACTTCTCCTTCCTCCTGGACAGCTGCAGCTCAAACATGGGGTGGTAGGGGTCGGGCAGAGACAGCTGGGGAAAGACGTTTGATTCGTCTTCATTTAATAGCACCCGTTTCCTAAATTTTTAACTTGTTTTATTGCATTTCTTAATTCAGTTTCAGAGCAGTCAAAGGGAAATAACCAAATAAATACGCACAATTTTAAAAAAACTATAGTTTTTTCCCGTGTTTTTAATAAACATTTTAAAATTTAATATTGCGGTCAAAGGGAAATAACAATATAAATATTGAAATTTTAAAACTTTAGTAGAGTTACTTCCCATGAATTATTACTGTTAATTTTCGTTTTAATCATGCTTCACTTTCTAATAAAAAGAATAAAAGAATTTGAATTTACATTCTTTAGAACTTCTATTCAAATCCTTACCTGGTGGATGGCAAGCACTCGCTGTCTATGGTAGGTAACTCTACCATAATAACCAACAAAACTGCCCATTGTCCAGTCTATTCCACCAATGGACAATAATCCCTCTGTGTCATCAACATACATATCTTCATTGCTAGAATGTGTCAAGTGTTGACATTTTATTTTAGAGTTAGAAACAGGTTAAGGAAAAAAAATTAGTTAACAGATAAGTTAGCAGATAAGCAGGGAACGCATTTAGAAGACATTCAATAAAGTTTATAAAGAAAGTAGAAATATTAGCATTTTTTTATAACATAGTCAATTCTTTAAATTATTTTCCAGAAATAATTTTTAAAAATTCCTTTAATTTAATAAAAGCGTAAAATAATAAGTGTCACATAAGATACAAAAGTATCTTAAACAACTAGCAACACACAAACAGAAAACAAACAAAAACATTTAAAGGTTATTCAATACTTATTGTTAAATGCATCTTTATGGGCATACGGAAGTATCCATTCATATGTAGGTTTTAACGAGTGTTGATATAGATGTTTGAGTATGTTTTTACGTATGTTTTGAAATGTGCCTTTGAAAATGTATGTGTGCTGATATGTGTTTTTGAATGTTAGTTGTTATGTGAATGTGTTGATATGTATTTTCGATTCATTTTAGGTATTTGTCATTGAATGTGTGTTTACAAATTTCTTGGAATGTGTTTACATGTATGTGAATGTGACATAAACGACTTACTACGTATGTGAGGTCCAGAAACCATCTTTTAGACCGTGCCCATAGTTCACGTGCAGGATCCACTACAAAACATAACAAATATCACGTGTATATTGGCTATTTTTAGCCTCTACTCTCTAACTCACTTGTATATAAATAGTAGAACGAGTTACTGTCAGTCAACACAAAGCCTTATCGTCCTCTAGTACATAGTAATGTAATACATAGTAAACACAACGCCTTACCGTTCTGTAGTACATAGTAAACACAATTCGCGTCCAGATATTTCTAGGCACGATGTCCGTAGACTTCATAGCTATGTAGCCACTGCTACTTTTTACGTCAATCTGGATGTTTCCTGAGGATTGGTTAAGGAGGCAGGGGTTGGGGAGGGTTGGGGAGGGGTAATTTACATTAATTACAATAAAAAAGTAAAAAAAAATGTTTTAAAATGAATAGTTAAGCAGACACATTAATTAAAAAAACCACTATAATTATTATTTTATTAAAAAATAATTAATTAGAATTAAATTAAGACTGACTGTTAAGACTCTTTAATTTACCATCATGTTTACTGACAGTACTTTATTTAAACAACAACATACATTCTTTATCAAACTAGGGACAGGATACAATTGAACCACTGACATATGACAAGAAACGACCCAGCGACTGATATCTGACATGTCACTACCTAACACATGTGTCAAATCACTACCTATACACACACACACACAGACACACACACACACACACGCACATACACACACACACAGAGATACACACACACATGCACATACACACGCACACACACACAGACACACACACACACACGCACAAACACAAACACACACGCACACACACACACACACCGACTCACCATCTTTGTTAATTAGAATGGCAGGCGTCAACAAATTCCCTTGCCTGTCCATGTGAAGAAACAGACCACAGGCATTAGCAGGGCTGAGGTAATGCATGGGACAGTAGTCCAGTATGTAGACCCACATCTCAATGGTAAGCCTACAGTGGGATAAGTCAAGTTTTAATTAATACATGGGACAGTACTCCAGTATGTAGACCCACATTTCAATAGTAAGCCTACAGTGTGATAAGTCAAGTTTTAATTAATGCATGGGACAGTAGTCCATTATGTAGACCCACATCTCAATGGTCAGCCTACAATGTGATAAGTTTTAATTAATGCATGGGACAGTACTCCAGTATGTAGACCCACATCTCAATAGGCAGCCTACAGTGGGATAAGTCCAGATTCAATTAATGTGGTTTTCTTGTGGATGCAATATTTAATTTAAAAAAAAATAATCAGTATCTACATTAATACTACAATTCTTGTAGGTATTTTTTAAAACACTATTTTAAGTCATTAAGAAAGATGCGATTTACAGACTTTCCACCTAAATTGGACACCATCGGTTATTTTGGCCATATTATATGGGACAAATCTGGTCTGTGAAGTTTGTATAATAGGGCCAGTCACCTATGGTGGGTAAACAGCTTTTCTCTCTGGCTTCTCTTGGAGGGGTGGGAGGGGGGAAGACAAGGCTACTCCCCCCTAATTCCCGACACAGAACGAAATAGATATTAAAAAATATATGCTTCAACCATTGTCCGACCCTGGTTATTTGTTGTACCACCCCCCCTCCCCCAGTTTCAATTGCCCCCCCCCCCCCCTCTCCCAGAGAAAAAGTCTGAAAAAGACACCGCTAGGCAAAGAATCGTCCTTATTACAAGAATAACTTTAGTTCAAGAATCTATTAACTAAAAGTAATTTTCATCTGCAAATAGTATCGCATTGTTTAAAATTGTTGTGAATTATATAAATACGAGCCGACCCGCGGCATACCATACGCCGCTATTTATTTGTTTTATTTTCTACTATTCAGTAATTCATAATTTGTGAATTCGACAGTACCACTGCTGTCACTGAAAATATTTGCTTTAAAACACTAACCCCCACTTCCCCTAACCCCGACCCTACACCCCCCCCCCGTGAAAGCAGCCTCCTCTTAGTTACCTCCTGTAAGTTTAAAATAGTTTCAAACTAAATTATCTGCCCCTAATAGCCGTCACTAAACCCGGCTCTACGATTGTAAACACAGCGTGACCACAGCTCACCAGACCATGTGGGGGTGGGGTGGGGGTGGTAGTGATAGTGAAAGAGAGAAAGAGAGGGGACTGCAAGGATGCGCTTGCAGCTTGTTTTCTAGCGTCTCCCAGAAGAGAATTATATATATAGATGACAAAGAATATAAGACATAAGACTGATTGAAGAAGTGAAAAAAAAATTCCAGTTGAAAAAAAAAATTAAAAAAAAATTAAAAAACATCAACTGTCACGACTGACTTATTGATGTAAAATGATACAATCTAAACTGCTCTGACTGACCTATTGATGTAAATAAAATTTTAAACTGCTATGAATGACTTACTGAGGAGAGTACAGTTTTTGCCGCCTGTCTCTCTCTAGACCTGGGTCTTTAAACGGGTCAAAACTTCGGATAAAACTGTAGGCGTAGCCGTTAAATACAGCCGGGTAGTCAAGTAGGGTAACAAACTCTGGTGAATCAAAAAGTCAAATTTGTAATGAAAGCCAAGCAATATTCGAATCAACGATTTGTCAATATAATACTCAGTTTCACTTTTTATTTTTTTAAGGTGAATGGATTCTTGAGAAAATTAATTGTAAATTAAATCGAATTCCACTTCCGAAAAACAAAGTTAAATTTACAAAATCGTTCAATAAATTATGGTATTCTTGAAGCAAAATCGCTAAGAAAAAAAAATTTCGCGCTTAAAACCTGGTTTTCCGAAAAATGATAAAAAATTAGTTAAATAACTTAAATCTTCATAAAGAGCATCACAGGCGGTGACGGCATGCTATGATATTATTATTTTTGAAATACAAGATTACGCAAATTCCCTTTATATTTATCAATGCTGAAAATATCCAAAACAGAAATAATCTTTTATTTAAAACAGTGATTTGACTGTCTGGGCTGTTTTAGCAATTCATATGTCGACATTAAGAACTTTACTGTGTTTTTGTTTACCTTTTTCAGCCCTACAAGTCTGTGAATCAGAAAATGGATACAGTTTCTGGAGCAAAGGCCATATCCAGATGCTGCACTTGGGTCTTTTAAACGGACGGGAATATGGCGGGAGGATTTGAATTTTGTGGAAGTCTCGGCTTTTCACGCTGTGTGAAGAAAAAAGTTAGGAAAAAATGTGGAACAAAGTATAGAATACATTGTATTTGTGGACTTTATTATCTTAACATTAAGTATAGATTCTTCTTTAGAACTAGCGATCCATTGGGTGTAATGAAATCGAGTTTATGTTTTTTTTTACCTGGGCATATTAAGGGATAATGTAGTCAGTACTATGCCTAGCCACCGTTACTTTCCATAACGTAAGTTGGGTACCCATTAGAGCTTAGTAGACTCAGGGACGTTCTACTGACTTACACGGATTCGAACTCGAGACCGCGCCGTCCTCTTCCAAATATAGTGACACCTTTAAAAATTTGATTTTCTGCTATAAATGATTATTATACTTTGTGCCTCAAAATGGACCCCTCTCAAAGCTTGGTATACTGCTATAAATTAATACTCTTTAGCCTTAAGTTGAACCCTCTATTTTTTATATTCTGCTATTAATGATACATCTCTGCATTAAAATTAACCGTTTTGCAAGGGTAATATTCTTCTTTCAATGAATATTTCTCGGAACAAATAGCTTGACCCCTCTTACACTATCAGTAGTAGGGGTAGGGGTAGGGGTATGGGTATGGGTATGGGTATGGGTATGGGTATGGGTATGGGTAGGGGTAGAGGTAGTAGGTGTAGGTGTAGGTGTAGGTGTAGGTGTAGGTGTAGGTGCAGGTGTAGGTGTAGGTGTAGGTGTAGGTGTAGGTGTAGGTGTAGATGTAGGTCTAGGTGTAGGTGTAGATGTAGGTCTAGGTGTAGGTGTAGGTGCAGGGGTAGGGGTAGGGGTAGGGGTAGGGGTAGGGGTAGAGGTAGGGGTAGGGTTAAGGTAGAGGTAGGGGTGGGGTGGGGTAGGGTAGAGGTAGAGGTAGGGGTGGGGGTCACTTCTGATTGGTTAAAAAAAAACTTACTTGACGGCGTTCTCGCCCTCGCTGTGTCGTGTCCAGGTGGTGACGTCATACAGCCAGGCTCGGAGCTTCGACCACGTGACGATCCAAACTGGCTCCCGCTGGTTGAAAAAATCTGGCCGGTACAAGAGACATTCTGGCGGTCTCAGGTAAATCGACTTGGTCCTGGGTTTACCTGGTTGTGGAGGTACGAATAAGATTTTAAAATACTAGAAATCGTGGCTTCTTTATTAAATTAATCAATAGATCTATATGCTTTTGTATTGATGGTGTGGTTGAGTGGTACAGCGGACAGTGTGCCAACTCTAGTGTTCTAGTTCGTATCTTCCGACAACACGTGCATGGCGTATTTGAGTTCCCTTACATATTTCACATTGTAGCTATGTATTGGCTTATAAATCTCTCAGACGAACAGCCTTTTATCGGAACATTAAAAAGAAATATGGCTGGTTCGAGTTATGGAAATCTTGACCCTAAATAGTACTCAGACTAATTCCACTGAAGCCCCTGAGGAGCAAATGGCTGCAGCTCCACCTAAATAGGCCCAGACGTGAAACAATTTATAAAAAACTAACCTGGCTGGTTTGAGAAATCTACAACGCCCCCACACTCACACTTACAGTAAAGGCATTGACCTTTACACTTCCAGGTAACGCAAAACAGTTGTCCAAGTCCTAAACCAAAATCCTTATACCCACCCTACCCACCCCCCTCCCTTACCGTCCTGTACGTGTCCTTGTCCCACACCAAGATCCTCATCACGTTTTCACCCCCCCCCCCATCCACCAATTTATAATCGTGACTTTGACCTTTACACTTCCAGGTAAAATAAGACACTTGTGATAGTCCCACAACAGTATCGCCATATCAACCCCCCCTCCCCAACTTACCGTCAAGACCTTGACCTTTACACCTCCACGCCCGACTAAACACCGTCCTGTACTTGTCCGATTCCTGCAGCATGACCGTCAGGTCCACCACCACCACCCCGTCCTCCTCGCACTGGTACTCGACCTTGACCCGCCGGCCCGGTGCGAGCACATCCGGGGCCTCGCGCACGCGCACAAAGTTGGTGGTGACGTCACTGCCTGCAGCTTCACCGTCCACCTGCTTTGAGGATGCGTAAAAGACAAATTGATGTTGCTATAAATAACAGCAGTGGTCACCTACTATATCGCTATTCTTCGGCCTATCTGTGGACTAATCTATACGTGTGACCCTAGGTCCTGACCTGCCTTGGGCCTTAGTATAAAACCAACGATAAGGATATGATGTTGATCATCGTTACACATTCCCGCTCAAACCCAAGATACCTGGGGCAGATGAAGTAGAGTTCATCTGTTTCAATGACTCAGACATACTGGGGACCGTGTAGTCATCATACATTTTTAATAAAAATTCTATTTTGTTTTTGGGTGTAACAAATTAGAATTTCTGTAGAAAATAAATAATTTTACCAGTATATGCCCATACCCCACCCCCACAGCGCGTAATTTAGGCCGCCACCCCATCCCCAATTTGTTTTTCAAATACTCCCTCCCCCCCCCCCCCCCCCTTAGGAGAAATAAATCCTGAAACAGAATTCTAAAATTCAGACATTCTAAAACACAAAACTCTACAACACAGGCATTCTAAAACACAAACATTCTAAGAGATAGACATTTTAAAACACAGACATTCTTAAATACAGACATTTTAAAAGACAGACATTCTGAAATACAGACATTTTAAAAGACAGACATTCTGAAATACAGACATTTTGAAACATAGAAATTCCGAAATGCATTCATTCTAAAACACAGACATTCTAAAATTTAGACATTTTAAAACACAGACATTCTAAAATACAGACATTCTTAAATACAGACGGTCTAAAAACATTCTAAAATACAGACATTCTAAAACAAAGACATTCTGAAATACAGACATTTTAAAACACTGACATTCTAAAATACAGACATTTTAAAACACAGACATTTAAACACGGCCGGTAAAGACAGGTAAACTTTTACTCACCTGTTCGTCCGTAATTACCGGCATGTAAGTAATTACACCAATTATTAGAACACTCATTATCCGGTAATCCATTGTTTTGCTTTAATACTCAACTGATTTTTTTTTCACCGATTGAAAATAAAACTAATAACAAATCAATGTTTCCAATTGTTAAGTGTCACTCAATATAGTATTAAACTATGTATTTTATTTCACTATTTAAAGGAGATTTTTTTCTGTTTTATTTTTAACAAACACCGAAGTAGGCCAAAATTTGTTTAAAAAATAAGTTAACTATTGGTATCAGACGCAACACCACTATCACCAAGTATCCAAGTAAGGAGGAAAAAAGTCACACAAGAATTATTTCCCCTTAATGAAACAGATAACTGATATTCTCAGTTACAGCACCTCACACATCTTTATCTCACACCGGTCCCCCCACACACTACACACGTCTGTTGTGTGGCGGTATGTGTGTTGGACACGTTACGAATTCTAGTATAAAGTTTTCAAGTCCGGCTGATGATAATCAATAGCAACACGTCGGAGAATGTGTTAATCTTAGCCACGTAGTATCGTGTGGCTATGTATTAGCCCCCCCCCCCCACCCATATTTTTACAGACATGCGTCTCAGTCCTTACACTTAATAACCTTCCTTAACCAATAACAAATTTATTAATTTTTCTCTGTATTTACTATAAATAAATGAAATGTGTTGAGAGCAAATCTGTTAGTTTAATTATATAAAAAGGTGTTTACGATTTGAATATTAGTAAAAATTTATTTTTCTCCCACCTCGTGACCTTACCTGTAATCCCCTCCCCCTCCGCTCACCCTCTCTGCGCAGTTGTTGAAAAAATAAGTCTACCAGCTGGTGCGGGAAAAATCGAATTCTAGACTTTTATTTTCTAATCCGTGTCGCAGCTGAATTTGTTGGGACTTACCTCCCCTGGTTTATTTTTATCGTTTGTCACGTGGACTTGTCGCCTTTGTCGACGTCACACGGCGTCACCATGACGTGTTGATGGCGACGTTAAATAAAATGGTTGGTTGGTCCAGATACGTGGCCTTAAACACAAGGGAAACAACTGCAGATTGGAAAATTGTTTTTTAAATCACAGCACTTACCTCCCCTGGTGAAGCAAATAAAATGTTAACAAATGTCTGTGATTATTTGTGAACATTTGGATATAACTTTCATAAATGTAAAGTTCAGATCGTTTATATATGCCAACAATCTATAATGGAATAACTAGGCTGGGCTAGGGTTGGGAAAATAGGATTTTAGATGAGGTATAATATATTAATTACATTAAGAGGTTTGACTATTGTAAGGTTTAGAATTACAATCATGAATTACGATAATTAAAAGAGACACAACCTATTAGACGTATAAAATATACTTCAAAAGTACAGGCTATGGTGAGAGAAACATTGCTCACCTAACCCAGCTAATACCCAGCTACTGGGGTACTAAACTGCGGGAATACCCATCTACTGGGGTACTAAACTGCGGGAATACCCAGCTACTGGGGTACTAAACTGCGGGAATACCCAGCTACTGGGGTACTAAACTGCGGGAATACCCAGCTACTGGGTACTAAACAACGGGAATACCCAGCTACTGGGGTACTAAACTGCGGGAATACCCAGCTACTGGGGTACTAAACTGCGGGAATACCCAGCTACTGGGGTACTAAACAACGGGAATACCCAGCTACTTGGGTACTAAACTGCGGGAATACCCAGCTACTGGGTACTAAACTGCGGGAATACCCAGCTACTGGGGTACTAAACTGCGGGAATACCCAGCTACTGGGGTACTAAACTGCGGGAATACCCAGCTACTGGGGTACTAAACTGCGGGAATACCCAGCTACTGGGGTACTAAACTGCGGGAATACCCAGCTACTGGGGTACTAAACTGCGGGAATACCCAGCTACTGGGTACTAAACAACGGGAATACCCAGCTACTGGGGTACTAAACTGCGGGAATACCCAGCTACTGGGGTACTAAACTGCGGGAATACCCAGCTACTGGGGTACTAAACAACGGGAATACCCAGCTACTGGGCTACTAAACTGCGGGAATACCCAGCTACTGGGGTACTAAACTGCGGGAATACCCAGCTACTGGGTACTAAACAACGGGAATACCCAGCTACTGGGGTACTAAACTGCGGGAATACCCAGCTACTGGGGTACTAAACTGCGGGAATACCCAGCTACTGGGGTACTAAACTGCGGGAATACCCAGCTACTGGGGTACTACACTGCGGGAATACCCAGCTACTGGGTTACTAAACTGCGGGAATACCCAGCTACTGGGGTACTAAACTGTGGAAATACCCAGCTACTGGGGTACTAAACTGCGGGAATACCCAACTACTGGGGTACTAAACTGCGGGAATACCCAGCTACTGGGGTACTAAACTGCGGGAATACCCAGCTACTGGGGGTAATAATCTGTGGGAATACCCAGCTAATTGGGTACTAAACTGCGGGAATACCCAGCTATTGGGGTACTAAACTGCGGGAATACCTATCTACTGGGGAACTAAACGACTGGAATACCCAGTTCCTGGGTACTTAACTGCGGCAATACCCAGCTACTGGGGTATTAAACTGCGGGAATACCCAGCTACTGGGGTACTAAACTGTGGGAATACCCAGCTACTGGGGTATTAAACTGCGGGAATACCCAGCTACTGGGGTACTAAACTGCGGGAATACCCAGCTACTGGGGTACTAAACTGAAACCATGTCTTTGATGTTTTTAGCGCAATTTCCATACTGGATTGCGATTATTAATTCGTCATTTCTGGGTGTGTGTCCGCAGCTTTACCGCAGCTTTAAGTCGTATCTCCTCAACAACGAAGCAATATCGAGGACTAGTTCCAATAGCAAATATGTTAAGCAAGTTCCGAGGATGATTGTGGGCCAAAAAAATTCCCGGAATTCCTTCCTGGATTTCCTAGAAAAGCCAAAAAACCTCGAAAAAATGCAGTTTTTGGCCCATATCTCGGCAACCAGACCACTTAGCGACTTGAAACATTTACCAATCGATTCCTGCCATAATTTAGAACAATATTGTTTTATGTGTCAAAGCCAGTATGGCTCATAAGGGGTGGTCCATAAATAACGTCACACTCGTAGGGGGTAGGGGGGTCCATAATTTTGTGACGGTGTGTGATGAGGGGGGAGGGGGCGGGCTCAGATGGTGTGACGTCACACTTTTTCATTACAAAAAAGGCAATGTTCAAAAACGAATTTTAGCCGTTATTTGACGTTTCACAAAACGGTTTTTATAAATTGTAATAGGAATTGATCAAAATACTCTATTATGACAAAGTTCTGACAATATTTTGGGGTTGTAGACTAAAGTGCGTTGTCATTTTAGGGGGGGGGGGGTCTGGCTTTTTGTGACGATTTGTGACGATTTGTGACGGAGGGGAGGGGTGGGGGAGGTAAAAATCGTCTAAAAATGCGTGACGTCATTGATGGATGACCCTTAACCTGTTAAAACACAATACTTAATTATGCCGGAGGACCCGCCCCTAATTTTACAATAAGAACGACCCCCCCCCCTCCCGCCCACCTATTCAGCCTGGCCGTGTTATACAACAAAAGTCTGCATTTCGTTTAACCCTCACATCGCCTGTCATAGAGTTTTGAATCACAGTTCCATGCCCGGGCTAAAGTGAAAGTAAACGTCAACGATACAGAGAAAGTAAACAAGGGAGTGTAGCATAACAACCTTCTACATAACAACTTGACTTGGTCTGAGTATCCATTGACATTAACAAGCATAAAACGTGTGTAAATTATATCACTTATTATTTCCTAGCTATGTCCTGCCTTAACCCAACCCTTCACATCTAACTACTCATTTCTAACCATAACCACAATATCCTTAAACTAACAAAAAATACATTAGTTAATAACTCAAGGCATTCCCAACAGAGGCGTAGCGACCCTTCCCGGCGCCCGGGGACAAACTTTTCGACTTGCACCCCCCTTCAAACTTTCGATTTGCACCCCCCTGAAGATTTCGATTTGCACCCACCCTCAAACTTTCGATTTGCACCCCCCTCAAGCTTTCGATTTGCACCCCCTCCCTCAAGATTACGATTTGCACCCCCTTCAAACTTTTGAATTACACCCCCCCCTCAAGATTTCGATTTGCACCCCCCATCAAACTTTCCATTTGCACCCCCCCCCTCAACCTTTTAATTTATTTTTCCAACCCATTTTGGCGCCCCCCCCCCCTCCCCTCCCTCGCTACGCTACTGATTTCCAAACTATTTTAACCTCACTTATTTTAGCCCATAACGTAGACATAAATTAAATAACCACAAAAAAACCAAGGTATTAATACCTGGCTTTAAATCATAAACAACAGACGCCGTATGTAGACAATAGTTTTAAAGCGCCGATAAAACCAATCCATGTTATCTGTTGTAATCGTCCCCCCCCCCCCCCCCCCCCACAGCAATCATAGCGACACAGCATGTCACCGATAAACCCGTGAGAAGTAGGTCAAGGGGCGTGGTGGGGGTGGGCTGTGTATGTATTTTCCTGGAAACCCAAACTGAAACTAAAATTTTACGCCGTCCCGAAGATTGCACAACACAACAACCTTACAGTCGTTGTAGCTGGGGTAGGATATCCTTAGACCATAGGTCATCCTTACACAAAAGGTCATCTTTACACAACAGGTCATCTTTACACAAAAGGTCATCTGTTAAGTGCTTACACTGGTAAGTTGATCTCGATTGCTAAATATAATTTTATTAGAGCCATATACAAAAGAAGAGACGTAGATGTATTGATAACCAGATAAATGTAATTCTCTTCACTTCCCTTCCCTTCCCTTCTCTTCTCTTCTCTTCTCTTCTCTTCTCTGCTCTCTCTCTCTCTTTATATATATATATATATATATATATATATATATATATATATATATATATATATATATATATATATATATATATATATATTTATACGGCGTAACTATACGCAACAGTTTCATTACATTGTTGGTCTGTTTCCAATTAAAACCATATTTGACTGTATCAACTACGGCCAGACGTATATTGTGTTATGCATGAACTAACTTTCAAGCTCAGCTGTCCGTTATCGATACTATTGATTTGCTGATTGCCAGTGATTTACAACACATTGGCAGTTGGTGTGTTGATTTTAAACAAAACAGGTGTACGGCTAGTGTATTTGTTAGCCCTGGGTTCAAAACCTTGGAAGGAAGGTGGTCTTTCATATCAATTCACAGGTAGTTAGTCGAGGTTTGAACATAATTCGGTTTAATAGAATAAGGTTTGTTTCTTTTAATGCTAGTTGGTGTTGGTGGGTAGTTATAGGTAGCGGTCCTGTTGTGTAAATTTTATCGGTTATGTGAGATTATGAGGGTAGGTATAGTAGTTATGTGGTTAGTTATAAGAATGCATATAGTAGTTTTCTGTGGTGTTTATATGTGGTGTTGATGTTGTGTTGTTATAGCAAGTAATCTGGTGTTTTTTTGGAGTGGTAGAGAGTGGTTTTGTGGAAGATACACATTACAAGAAGCCAGTAGCGTAGCGATGGGGGGGGGGGGGGAATATGTCCCCGGGCGCCGACCTTAGGGGGCACCAAAATGGGTTGGAAAAATAAATTGAAAGGCTGAGGGGGGTGCAAATCGAAAGTTTGAGGGGGGTGCAAATCGAAATCTCGAAGGGGGGGGGGGGGGCAAATCGAAAGTTTGAGGGGGGGGGGGCTGCAAATCGAATCTCGAGGGGGGTGCAAATCGAAAAGTTTGTCTCCGGGCTCCGGGAAGGGTCGCTACGCCTCTGCAAGAAGCAGACATTTATAATAAAATCAACACGGTAGTACTGAGAAAACTTCTAATCTACTTCCTATGTTGTTGTTTAAGCTTTAGAGCCCATTTTCAGTCATAAGATTATATCAAGAGATTATATTTTTTATATGCCTTGTATCTGATTTGTTGCTATATTTAGACGAACCTGCTATACCTCCTAGCAGATCTTATCCACTATCTAGGTCAAGGTTGTTCTGGCAATTACAGCTGATAAAGTTGATAACGTCACGTGATCCAGCTGGTACAGTCGTATCGATTACCGCGCAGCTTCAAATAAAATATGAGTATCGATTACCAGCCTGGTTTAACTGTGTAGTAGAGTTCAGGTGGCCGAGTGCAACGATTCTAAACACGATACTTTACGTTTTCCGATACTTAAGACATACTGAGGCGTAATCATGCAAGTACTGTTAGGTAATTTTAGGTATGTATGGCGCCCCTCCTGGGGCATACGTCGCTGACAAGACAAGAGCTTTACAGGCGTCTCTGTCCTGGGCTAGTCTCTCCAACTGTCCATAGGTGTATCCATTCTTCTTGGTGTCAGGCCTCTCTGTCCTGGGCTAGTCTCTCCAACTGTCCATAGGTGTATCCATTCTTCTTGGTTTCAGGCCTCTCTGTCCTGGGCTAGTCTCTCAAACTGTCCCCTGGTGTATCAAATCTTCTTGGTGTCTTTTTCCAGGTCACGTCTCCAGGTCTTTCTTGGTCTGCCTCTTTTTTTTTGCCCTGTGGATTCCAGGTGAGGGCCTGTCTTGTTATGCTAGATACAGGTTACCTGAGTGTGTGGCCAATCCTTTTCCATTCCATTTCATCTGAAGGATCTATTCATCAGCTGGCTGTTGATTTGTACGTTTCCACTGTAACTCATTTCTAACGGTTTTTTAGGCCAGCGAATTCGCAGGATCTTCTGAGCACGCGTTTATAAATGATTTTATTTTCTTCTTATTTGTGGCAGTTATTCTCTATGTCTCAGCTCCATAGAGTAAAACATGTTTTACTAGTGTGAAGTACATTTAGTATTGTATATTTTAAAAATACAGTTGTAGGTTCATGAATTTCATCTATTTTAATAAGCGAAAACACACCTTAAAGCAGATCTCTATGTAGACATATAGAAATTGTGGTACATGCGCAGTGGTAAAAGTATATATTTTGTATATACATTTCGTTTTCGGAAGGGTTGGGGGCGGTAGACACGCTTCGGTGCCCCATGCCTGAAAGAAACACTGCTGCCTTGTGACGTCTCAGTGTATTAGCCCACAACAGTGCTTGTTACGGTGCAATGAAAATAGATCTACTACCTCATGTAATGGATCGATCAAAGTTTTGAACAACCCAATCACGCGACATTATCGTTCTTTTATTGATTGACCCTTTATTTTATTGATACCCTTTTTACACGGAGGTGACCTCTGACCTCTTCTCACGTCAAATACTACACAAAAATAAAGTACCATTTCGAACCTGACGATTCATGTCGTAGGTGAAGTAGAGTTCATCTGTTTCAGTGACCTTGGTATAAGAAGCTATAGTGTGGTAAGTATTGTGTTCAGTCACCCTTATTTTCTCTAATGTGAGTTAAGTACCAACCGGGGTCTAAGTCGGTCGAACTTCATGGAGTCCACCCAGCTATGATGCAACATCCCCTCATATACCAAGTTCAAAAACATATGAACTCTACTTCATCTGCGCAATGGATCTCTAGGTCTTCATCGGATTCTTTACTTTTTTTTTTAACTATGTGTGCCTGGCAATTTTCGATGAAGTATGATGAATTAAAAAATAACAAAGGGCTATTGTTTTTTTCATATATTTCAGAGTTGTTGTAGTTTAAGCACTAGAAATGTCAACCACCGAAAGCCAGACGGATGGCGCTAAGAATGTACTGGAAGTCTTTAAAACTTGGATAAATAATAACAGAAAGTGTCTGTCTGAACTAGAATCAGAGGTACACACTAACAATCTAGGCATATTTTCATAATGCACACACACGTACACACATATATATGTATGTATATCTGTATATCAGTGTATCTTTATCTCTCTCTCTGTATATATATATATATATATATATATATATATATATATATATATATATAACAAACAGAGGTGAAGGTATATACTTTAATTCCTTTAATCCCTAATGATTTAATCCTAACACACAGTTGACCAAATACGAGACCCAACCGACTCCATCTGAAAACAACAACCAGCAACCAGTTATAGACTTGAAGGTCCTGGTTAAAGACAGCTTGGACAAGATGACCAAATGCTTCAGCTTCCTAACTGGTAACTGAAACCTTGATGTTAAGACACATTTACCATAGAGGCTGTATGAAAAATGTCCCAGTACAGTTGTTTGATGTGTTTTTAGCAAGCATTACAAAATTCTTTCTCGTCTCTGATTTGGAAAAACAAAATTGAGTACCATTTAGATATAAAGGCTTATAAAATAGATGAAATAGTTCATGTGTTTCTGTTTTCTGTGCATGTTTAAAAGCTGTGTTGCTAGCTCTTGTAAAAAAATACCCCCCCCCCTCCCGCGAAATAATATTGTCGGGTATCTATTAAATCTGAGTTAACTCAGGGACTCAAGACATAATTAGGTATTAACAGAAATGTGAATATTGGAACATTGTATATTACAGTATATCATTGAAGCATGTACAACACTCACACACATGCACACCACACAAACTCAACCTTGAATTATGTACATCACACACATATGCACACACACACACACACGCACACACTCACACTCACACTGAATCAAACTTTTGTCGCATTTTCTTTCTTAGATAATGACGCCTTGCCTATGCCTTCGACCACCGAACATGATTCAGGTGCGTAAAAAATGTGTTTGTTTGTTAAACAGTGGTCTATTAAGTATGAGTTTTTTAATTCCTAATTTCATTTTCTAAATATTTATGATGGTCGATGGAACAAAAATCAACGAAGGTGCCAAATTGTGTTACGTAGTTTTTGTTAATAAAAGGTGTCACAAAAATTTAAAATGACATTTTAATAACAGATATTATAATTATTAACACATATTATTAATATTACTAAAAACGATATTTTACCATCCCATAATTCTATACTAATGATTACCATAAAACGAAATATCTTTCGTACATTAAGCTTTATTATTAAATACGTGCTCTACTAAAATTATATTCGTTTTGTAGGATATGAAGGAGTTTCTGTCTCCTGTTTGTTAACATTTTATAAATATTTTTCTCGTTCATCTCAAATATCTCTAAAAAAAGAACAGATATCCTATTTTAAATACCTTAATAGTGTCCTCGTATTTCTCTTGTATACTTTCATCATTTTAGAAACCCTCAAAACCCTTGTTATCAGGGTCAATGACCTGGAAAAGGAATCGAGAGATTTGAAAACAAACACTGAAAAAAATGTCAGTGCCTTAGGAGACAAGCACAAGAAGATGGAGGATGATGTCAACAGTTTTAAAGAATCGACACAGAAAAGTTTGGAGAAAGTTAGATCTGATGGAGAAACAAAGATGAAGGAAGTACCTTCACTTAAACCACAGGACCAGGATGAGTTAAAACAATTACAAGGTAGGTTTGTTTTTTTCACACTAATGTATATATATATATATATATATATATATATATATATATATATATATATATATATATATATATATATATATATATATATATATATATATATATATATATATATATATATATAAAATCTTACACTTTAGACGTTTCTCACGGCTACTTTCAGAAATTTAGCTCAGGGGTCGGGGGGGGGGGGGGGTTGGAAGCTAGTTAACGTGTTTCTTTCTATTAAAATTGTATATTTCTCCTTTTCGACTGTGGTGGGGTGGTACTAGTGCTTTAGAGGAGTGGGGTGGGGCAATGCTACCCCGAAAAAATATGCTTGGTCAACCCAGCTCTAATGGATACCTGATTAGTCCACTTAACACTTATGGGTAGCTGACTCTAGTACACTCAGCACGTATGGGTACTAGACTAATCCACCCAGCTCTAATGGGTACCTGTCTCTAAAATCAGCTTGCCACAGTGCTGACCACACAATCAATTCATACGTGTAAGTAAATGAAACAGCTGAACGCTGTTTCATCTGCATATATCCCATCAAAACTTTTCTTATTGTAAGCTGTACTCTGTCATTTTGGTAAGTAAGAACTAACTCGAACTTACTATGTTGGTTATTCGAGATAAGCAGACATTTTCTTTCTTAGAATTCTCTCATCATACGAGATATGCGCAAAACAATTAACATGTTATCCCTGGTCCATGTGTATGCTGAAGTTGTAACTAGAACATTTTTATTTGCCTGTTTACACCGCTACGGGAAAAAATAAACCAATGATGAATAGAGTACTCAACTAAATTAAAACGCAATACTTAAGAATATATTAGTTAAGTTCGCAAAATGACAAGTTTTCATTTGATGTTCTAATTTTAAGTTTTTCAGTTATGAATCTTTTGTTTTATTTTGTGTGTAGGTTATGTGAACCAGCTAAACGTTAAGGTCAAAAATGAGGGGGATTTCTCACGGAGCTTAGATGAAAAACAAAAGGCAATAGAAAATAATATAACGGCAATCCTTAGAGATCACAAAGAGCTGTTAAATAATTATGGCAATATCAAGCCATTCGTGGATACTACAAATGCTAATCTTGACGAAGTAAAAACATCAAATTTGACATTTGAAGCAAGAATAACAGCTCAAGAAAATAATTTTGATAAATTAAAAAACGAAGTTCAAGCAAGGTATAAATCGTTACATGACAATGCGTCAAAAATCAATTCTGATCTGCAAAATGTAGTCAAGGAATTAAAGTCAGAAGAACACGATCGGTTAAAAGATGTATCATCAATCAAAGAACAAAACCAAAAGACGGATGCCAAGATTGTGGAGATATTCCAGAATAATATTAACACGGATAATCAGCTGAAGACATTGTCTGAAAAAGTCAGCAAATTTAGCATCGCTGCCAACTTCGATTTAAAGCTAACACACCTGAAATCTGAGTTGAAGACAGACATACAGAATCTTAATGATGAAGTAAACAATTTAAAATCGGACATTCAGTCCATTGACCAAGAAAGGCAGCAAGCAGATTCTAGAATTAATAATCTCATGGGCGATTGCAAAGCTCAAGCTAATGATCTTGTAAGTCTTCAAAACAGGATAAGCAGCTTGGAAGATACAACTCAAGATCTCAATAGTTCTTTTCAAGGTGGGTATTTTGGTGCGGGTTTATGAGTAGTGGCTTATTTGGTGCGGGTTTATGAGTGGTGGCTTATTTGGTGCGGGTTTATGAGTGGTGGCTTATTTGGTGCGGGTTTATGAGTGGTGGCTTATTTGGTGCGGGTTTATGAGTGGTGGCTTATTTGGTGCGGGTTCTCTCTGTTGTTAATTGGGTGGGCTTGTGAGGTAGTTTGAAGGGTGGGTTATCGATTTTGACTTTGGGTTTGGTTTAAGATGTGGCTTAGCGATAGTGGTTTTGGAGTTACGAGGTTGTATTTTGGGGTGGGTTTTCAAGGTTGCTTTTTTTGGGTGAGCTTAGAATGTTTTTTGGGGAAAAAAGTGTATTTTACATACGTTTATGGGGATTGTTCGCTAAAGTGGAAAGCAAAAGTGTGTAAATATTTCATGTAGTTTATATATATAGGCGTATATATATATATATATATATATATATATATATATATATATATATACATATACATATACATATACATATACATATACATATACATATACATATACATATACATATACATAATATACATATACATATACATAAAGTATACATAAATACTTTTTCTTCTTACCGAAAGATTCTGTGAATGATCTTGTTACGAGGGTCAAGGTAGGTGAAAAAGCCATGTGTGGTTACCAAGACGATGCCGATGATGTAAGAAAAATGCAGACAGACAACCAACGGCAGATAACCGCCTTGTCAAACAAGCAGACAGATTTCCAGAAGGCCATTGACAAGTTCTCTCTCTTCACGACCAGCACGGAGAAAAAATTTGTCGCCACGGTCGAGAAAATGGACAAGATTGATGATAAACTGAAGATGGCGATGACAGATGTTGGTAAAAATCTGGGCGCTATCACGACCAAACAAAGCGAAGTTAACAAAGCTCAAGAGAATAACGTTGCGGAGCTTAAAAGTCATGTCCAAAAACTGTTCAAGTTTTTCAATGAAAATGTCGCAGTCCAGTTAAAAGATTTGAACATCAACCTGGATAGCATTACAAAGGAGACGCTTCAGCAGAATACCAGACTAGATTCTCTAGAAACGTATACCGATGAGATTTCAGGGGCGTGCCAAGGTTTGGAGGTAGATCTCACGCAAACTAAATCTCAACTTGATTTAATCAGTCAACAAAGCGAAAAAATTGAGTCCAAAATTTCAGAGTTGGTACAGAAAAATGACGATCTGAAAAAATCAACTATCAGCAACTTGCAGACATTCTCGACTAAGCTAGACTCAGAGATGCGTGAACTGACAAAACGCTTGGACGAAGATTTAATGCGTCTACATACTGACATTGGTGATACTCTATCTCAGGTGTGTTGAAAATTCGATAATGTTAGCTGATTCCAATCTTTAAATTTGTAAAATTAATTGACTTAAGAAATGCAGGTTTTGAGAGTACATACACGTTTACAATCTTTGTTTTGTGTAGAGATGATTTGATCAATCATATTCAAAAATATTTAAAATTCAGTTTTAATACCTGTTTTTTGAAAGGTGCGTTATATTTCCTATTACGGTAGTGATTATTAAGATTATAATTTTATATATATATATATATATATATATATATATATATATATATATATATATATATATATATATATATATATATATATATATATATATATATATATATATATATATATATATACATAGTTAAAATGAGAGTGCATATTAAATAATTGTTAAAGAAAAATATGAAATTGTTTCTAGTTTGTGGGTTTTCTTTTTTTGAGTGCTAAAACCTTTGGTAATGGGTTCAAAACTAGGTCGTGTTTTATCCGGCAATGTCCGCGCCCCAGGTATCTCCCCCCTCCCCTCCCCACCCCGCCAGTTGTTACTGTGACGCCACCGCTGTGATCCCTGAGTCTATTCGGCTTTGATAGCGCTGTTATTTAAGCCACCTAACACGAATCCCTAACTACCCTACATACAAACACCAGTTAATCTAATCATCAGCCCAAAGTTCAATATGTTATGTTTTCTATTTGTAGGTCAGAGATTTGGAGTCTGAAATTAAAGCTACACAGAGTGGTAAAACAGCCATTGGATTTACGGCCTCGCCCAACAACCTCTCATCCGTCAGCGTCAAAGAGGGGGAAGTCGTCAAACACTTCAGGGACATCGCCTTCAACGAGGGCCACTACTACGACCCGTCCACGGGCGCGTTCACCGCCCCAGTCTCCGGCCTCTACTACACCAGCCTGACCGTGTCCAAGATGAACCAGGGCCGGATCAGCCTGCACGTCAAGCACCGACCGGTCAATGCCGGACGAAGTGACCGGAAAGTCAAAGTTGTCTGCCGGGCTCATAGTGGGATCGACGACAACAGTTCGACCGGTTCCGGGTTGGTTTACCTCGAGAAAGGTGACGCCCTCTACGTGGTGTCGGTGAATGTTTCCCACGATGCAGCTCTCAATTGTTATTCCAGCTTCTCATGCTTTCTTGTTAAGGGATAGTTATCATACATTGGATATACAAAGTTAAGATAGTTATCATACATTGGTTATCAAAAGTTAAGATAGTTATCATACATTGGATATCAAAAGTTAAGATAGTTATTATACATTGGATATCAAAAGTTAAGATACATTGAATCTCTAAAAAATAAATCATTTGATTTTTCGTTAAACGTAATAACCATTAAAAAGTATTGTATACATTGAATTTCATTTTTTTTAGGATTTTTTTTCTTTCAATGGAAGCTTCTTTTTTGTTTGTGTCTAAAAGAAGGAGTTATTATTCCTAAGAGATTTTAGCTTAGACTTGAGATTTATGGCGAATCTGTGATATATAGGGATTAGAAAATTACATGCAATTTATTACTAACACGAGTTATTGAAGGAGAGAGGGTTCTGATCCACCGTCTGTTACCTTTTTCTAGTATCTGGCTGCGTTGTTTCCATAATTTTTATAATCACTTCACGATTTTTTTCCTTTGAAAATATAAATATTTGTAAACCAGATGTACTTATTTAGATTATAATAACCACCTACCATTTACTTTTTTATAGTTGGAGAGCATAATCAATAATTGGTATGAAATATAGTTTAAATGTTTCAAAAGTAAACACAGGTGAAATCGAAATTGTAAAATTTACAGAGACCAAATATGTCAATACATTGGCTTGGGCATTGCCTGGCCGGAACGGGAACTATTTAAATATGTTTTTCTTTTCTGAAGACAGTATCGGCAGTGTTAGTTGTTTAAGCTGCTGTTAAATTTAACTGTAAATGTTTCAATGTTTTTTTCGCTGACGTTAAACATCGAACTTATGGTGCCTGTAGTCGTTCCTGGTACACAGAGTAAATTACCACAACAGCACGACGATTAATTGGTTGTGTATTTTATATTGCCAAACATAAGAACTTAAGTGCTCCCCTACATATGCACACCTATTGAACTTTTAAGTTATCTTAAATTTGTGATAGCATTAAAAAAAAGAAAGCAAAGTGTAACTCAAATAACAAAATCATCCCGTTTGTGCCCAAGACATACGGAGCGGATGTTTCAAGGACTCTCTATTGCCTTGGACTAGAATTCCAACTCTAGACTTTCGAGTTAGCATCATAGCTATCTACCGCTAGGCTGCGGCGTCCCGTAATTGCAAAATGGTGAATGTGTTATTAATATTATATTAATTGTATAATTTGTATTAACTTTAACAACAATGATAAGAGTAGGGCTTCTGTAAACAAACAAAATAGGTACACGATTTTTATTTATTCAAAATAATTCAATATTCATATTGTATCGCACTTAAAATAAATACATTAATTAATACACCATTTACCATGATTTTACTTTTTGCTTAATTTAACCAAATCTTACACCTTGTTAAAATAAGTTTATTTTACAATTTTGTATCTTGTCTAAATGTAAATAAAGTATGTTTTGTATTTCAATGTGTCAAACACGTTTAATGTGTAAGATGTTCCATTTTTAACTGCCCTTAACAATATACATCGTTATAATAACTTTGAGATAAACGATCAATCTTAATATCAAATTTAAAAAAATATAGTACAACTCATTCACACTAAAACAATTCATAGCATACTTTGGTACATCAAAAACAGACTTTATAATAAAAATGTGTAAAGTCACTATTTCGCTGCATCTTTATTTACAGTTCTGAAAACTTTTGCATGAAAGTAGCATTGCTATTCACTTATATGATACGAGCTGACCTGCGACGTAATATACGCCGCTATCTAATTGTTGTATTTTCTGCTTATTAGCCATTCATAATTTGTGAACTCGACCCTCCCCCCCCCCCCCCCACAAACACAAATACAATACAAACAAAAACACAAAGAAAACACAAACGCAAACACAAATACAATGCAAACACAAACGCAAATGCAAACGCGAATTGGTTTCCCGCCAATACTGTGAACACAATGAGTGTGTGTGTGAAATTTAAATTTGAGTTAATGTTCTGCGTTATTGTTTGCCCTTAGGTTTGCGTTTGTGTTTCTGTTTGTGTTTGTGTTGGCGTTTGCTTTTATGTTTATGTTTCTGTTTGTGTTTTTGTTTGCGTTTGTGTTTGCATTTACGTTACGTTTGTGTTTGCGTTTTTATTTGCGTTTGTGTTTAAGTTAAAGTTTGTGTTATTCTTTGTTTTTGGTTGGTTGTGGTCAGGATTAATTCAATATGTAATATATTGCCTAAACCCGGGAAATGCCAGGTATCTGCTGCTCACTAAACACACAAGCCACGGTCCTTTACAGATAGATTTTTCACAGAGGCCTTTACACAACACGACCTTGTATAACTCACTATGATGAACAATCCCCTACTTCTGATGTGTAATATAATGTTTACGATTTCCTGCGTGTTACATTTTTTCCTGCTACATACCTCCCATATGTTAACATTAACAGGATCTAACCTGCCCCCCCCCCCCCACCCCCCTCCCCAGTGTGACATCATGAACCTTCTTCCTCCTAGGTTTTTACAAATTGAAACCGAAACAAGACGTTTACATTACACATTTTCCCATGTGTTGATACAAATACGTAAAGCACGACGATTTGTCTAACCTGTAGCATTACTGGAAGAAACGCAGCCATGCGTAGTACTTGAATGTCAATGATATAAAGTATTGATTAGGTGTGCTGACATGGCGTGTTAGGTGTGTTGAAGAGTTGGACAGGGGACGGCGGGGTTTTGTTTAATATTTCCTGGAAGGAGAAAATGAAACTGATCGAACTCAAGTGTGTGGCTATTCTCATACAAGCCACTAACCGAATGGGAGAGCTGACTGGATCACGCACTGGTAAGTAGCGGCATATTTTGTTGATTCGTTCTGTTTTCACTACCTGTGTTGTATGATTTAAGTCTTTTTATTTTTTTTATGAAGAATCGTTGTATATGCTAATGTTTTTTTTATTGCACTGATATTATATTGAATATGGTATTTGTTTCAAATAACATATCAAAAGTAATTTATAACAGTCAATTTATTAAAGTAATTAAGCACAGCCAGTTGGTGCTATGATGATCTGAAGTTACTAATATTTAACTACCCTTTATTACCTAATACGAATTAACAAAAATTCCTTATCACCTTGTGTATGTTAAGTGTATAAGCCTACACCCCACTCACACCCTAAACTCTCCTCACACTAACGATTCGCTTCACATTCACAATGACTCTCTTGTACCCTACAACCACTCCCCTCACACCCAAAATGACTCTCCTCATACAACGACTCCCCTCACACATAAAATGAATCTCCTCACACCAACACCGAATACCCTCCTGTGGCGGAACTAGAAAAAAGGGCCACCCCGCCAAAAAAATGTTTGGGCCCCATATATATATATATATATATATATATATATATATATATATATATATATATATATATATATATATATATATATAATAGGACCCTATATACGAAAATACAAAATACGAACATAGAATACTCAATACGGGCTAGATCGAAATTTGAATAATGTTAAAAATTTTAATTTTATATTTTTAATTAAGACATGTTACAACAACACATAATTTGTGTGTGTGTGCTATTGGCCTGTTTTGAAATTCTCTGTTTTAATGTCTGACACACTGCTGCGTAATTTATAAGTGGGTCAAAAGAATATGAAGCATGAAAGCTTTGTATATGTAATGGTTTTTCGCCTTATGTTTATTTTTATGTTTTTTAGTATTTTTATTATTAGTTTTGTATACATTTCCTTTTTATACTAAGTCATTCTTTATTATGTATTTTTAAAAAATTTAATAATTAAGAGAAATAATTGCTTTTTAATTTGTTTTAGTATATTAATCTTTTAAAAGTTTCTTAATAGCACACATATTTGACTATTTAAAGAAGGGAAATAATTCATGGAAGTGGTTTGAACGTTTGCCTATCTTTCACACTACAAGTCTTGTAGCCTATATATTTTTCCTTTACGAAACAACATGTGTTAGCTACTGTAGAATAAAAAAAAATTGATTATGGTCGGCTTTGGGCCCCTAAAAGGCCTGGGCCCCCCGCACTGCGGGGTCTGGCGGCACTGTAGTTCCGCCCCTGATACCCTCACACTCACAACCACTCCCCTCACACCCACAACGATTTTGTTTCAGCTGAAAGATAACACCACCCAACGGTTGAATAACAACACCATTCATTGCAAGAAAAAACATCAAGAACGCCATCATGTCCAAAAAGAAAATGAAAAATCTGAAACAACAAATAAACGGGCTGAGAGAGGAGGTAGCGTCAATTAGGAACGACTGTGACAATAGAGAGACAAAGTTTAATGAACTGTTTGAAAAATATCAACTGCAGGAGGAGCTATTGACGGAGATTTTCGCTGACGTGTCGAATCTCAGTCAGATTGTTAGGGAAAGCAACGAGTTTCACCGCCTGCATGGAGCTGATATTTCGTCTCAAGGTAAGTAATCAAGGATTGAAAGGCTAACGTTGAGTGTTTTATCATTATGTGTTATGTTGGGTATTTATAAGTTGTCATTTTAAGTAATTGTTTTATTAGAGGTAGGGTTATATTATTATAATGTTGTTAAATTTTGTTAGCTGGGATTTAGTTAGTGAAGTATACAGAGTTATCTGTGGTGTATCTTATTATTTTTTTTTAATTTTTAATATAGTAACGTTAGCTTATTGAATTAGTTATTTGCGTAGTATGTTTAATTTTTATAAGGGCTAGGTGTAGATAATCATTTTTAATGGTATGTTATATGTGGATGTCGTTGTTGGCTGGTAGAGCCAACAGCTGCTAGCCCGAAAGTCTCGCGTTCAGATAACAATAGAGAAAATAAGGTGGTTGTGCATACATTATCCCTTGTATGCCAAAATCACTGAAATAAATTAAGAACGAAGAAGAAGATTGAAATAAATGAATCCTACTTTATTTACCCAATATGTCTTGGGCATGAAATAGAAAAGATGATGATAATCTATAGGCAGTGTTTCTTCCAGACTTTTTTCTCCGGGGGAGGGGGGGCACTTGAAATTTTCGGGGGGGGGGGCGGTAGACTTTCTTCGGGGGGGGGGAGGCGGACACTGTTAAAAGTATATATTTTCTATATAAATTATATAAATTTCATTTCGTTCGGGGGGGGGGGGGGGGGGGGAGGGGTGGAAAAAAACTCTGTCCATAGGCCTATATATAAGACAAAATGGTCGGATGCCGGTGTGGGAACTTATCGGCTCGCAGGCGCTCGCATCCGGCAAAATATTGTCATATTTTTGGTATTATAATTGAACGTTGAGATACTTGTCCCCATTTGTTTCATCTGTGTGTTTCCATAGACATTAGTCTGTTCAAGAGAGTAGGAAATGCTTGAATTCACTCAACTCTAATGGGTACCTGACTAAAATCGGGGAACTTAAAGAATAATGGGTGTAATGCTGACCACTGTATTCCTTTAGAAACCAAGACTTATCTAAAAGGGAGTGCTAGTTGTGCTGATCATGAGCTCAATAACATTTTAAGTCTCCCGGCTATTTGTTAACATAAAGAATTAACTGCCAATGTTCCTTTTTTTATTTTTTTTATAGAAACTGATTTTCAAAACAATCTGAACGGCGAGGCCGAGATAATACAGAGGCTAGAATCACTAGAACAAAAGCTACCCACTATCTCTAGCACACAAACAGAAATTGAGAATATCAGAGAGGTTTGTGACGAGCTTGTAGAGAAGATCAGACACCAGGAGGAAACAACCAGCGAGCTACGGGCCAATTGGTCGGAGTATGAGAGATGTAACGAATACGAGACACGGGCTAGTAACTCGGATGATTTCGACAATATAATGTTTGATGTTGAGAAGATCAAAGAAGAAAATGGAGCAAGGGACAACCAAATATCTGATCTGTGTGAGAACAGTGCTGCCGCGGATGCTCGCTTAGAGGACCTGTGTGGCAGGACAAAAGTGCTGGAAAGTTCTTCAAACGATTTTCAAGGTAAGTATAAACATTTTCAATGGGGCGGCCTGGCCTAGAGGTAGAGCGCTAGTTTGCAAACCCGAATGTCTTTTGTTCGAATCCAGCTCTTAAGGGTACCTAACTCACGTTAGTGAACGCAACGACGGCTGGGCATAGTGCTGACACGACTATCCATTCATCTACCGAGGTCACAGAAATAGATGAACCCAGGATGATTTACACAAATCAAATAACTGCCATGGTCGTAGTAAGAAAATATGTAGGACCCAATGAATTATTAAACTGTCAGCCGTGATTTTATTTACTTTTCATCTCGTGGTCATGTTTACATATTTTAGCCACTTAAAAACTGCAATATGTGTATCGATATCCATTTGCGTCACAAGTTAGAAGCGGAGGGATAATGGATAGTTGTGTGGGTTCGCACTTGGATTACACCATTTTGGACGGTACCGCCTCAATTGAAAATTCCAAAAATGTACTCACTTTTATAAATAATATAAAATAAAATTAATAACATGGCTGTGAGTAGAGTGGTACACAGAAAGCAAAGATAAATGCAAACATATCGGGCGAATTAGATGTATTTTTATATATTTTAATTCCTAAAAAATGGCGAAAATCAGAAATCCTGAGGATTTTATTTCAGTGTCTGAAAACAATAAAAATAACGATGTAAAATTTTATGAATCATTAAGAAATTTAAAAAAAAATCAGCTGTTACACATTCTTGTAATTTTTCCAGTATATCCACTATATATTTTTATGACCTAGTTTCACAACTTCCATTGTATTTGTGCGGGTTAGAGTTGAACTACAACAAAAGCTAAGTTTTTTTTCCTGAAACATTAGCGCTTTAAATTTAAAAAAAAATCATACTTAGGGGTCATCCATTTATGACGTCCACAATTTTTGTGGATTTTGGACCCCCCCCCCCCTTCGTCCACAAAAATCCACTTTTGTCCTTAAAAAAGTCCATATGCGACCACAAAAGTCAGTTTTTTCGACCCACCCGCGTGTGGACGTCATGAATGGATGACCCCTTACAAAAATTTAAAGAAATCTATTTAAACTAATGTTTATATTTACATTTGTTTTTTTTTAATACTTATGTGTTAGTTACAAGTTTGAATTAAAAATAAAATTAAGCAATTATCATGATTGTATCTGTCGTTATTTACAGTTAGGATGCAGCAAGCTGAAGGAGGTATTAAGGACAACTCAGATGCTCTAGACGATTTGACAGACAGGCAGGATAAAGTTGATCAAAGGCTACAGGCGGACTTGACAAAACATGAAACAATTAGAAAATGGCAAGAGGAAATAACTGACCGACTAGAAACGGACCTCACAAGGTTAGAGAAAATTAGAGGGTGGCAGGACAGTATTGACGACAGGCTAGAAACGGACCGAACCAGGCTAGAGGAAATTAAATGTTGGCAGGACAGGATCGACGACAAGCAAGAGAAAGATCTCACAAGGTTAGAGGAAACTAGGGGGTGGCAAGACAGGATTGAGGACAGGCTAGAGACGGACCTCACAAAGCAAGAAGAAATTAGAGTGTGGCAGGGCAGGATCGAAGACAGACTAGAAGAGTATGACACAAGGTTAGAGGAAATTAGGGAATGGCAGGACAGGATTGACAACAGACTAGAAGCAGATGGCACAAGCTTAGAGGAAATTAGAGTGTGGCAGGACAATATTGACGACCGGCTAGCAACGGACCAAACCAGGCTAGTGGAAATTAGACAGTGGCAACAGCGTATTGAGGACAGGCTTGATGCCGATTTAAACCACCAGGATAACGTAAACACAACTCAGAACGTAATTCTCACACAAGTTCAGAGACTGGATCAATCACTGTTTGGTATCGGCGAGAACCTCTCGACCCAACTGCAGCAACTGAAGACAAAACTGAAGCATGTGGCGAAAAAAGGTCTTGCTCGGGGCAAAATTCTCCACAATTTAGCATCATTTAGCAAAAAGCTTCTACATACGTATCGAATCATGTTCTCTAGAGTAATTGACCTTGATTCTCAGGTTCAGAAAGCAGCGGAACTCAGCGAGAAAGAGATATCTCTCTTAGAGCAGCGTGTTGTCAAGGCTGAAGATAAGGTATCCTGTTCATGTGTTCATTGTGTTATCAATTATAAATAACCTTGCTTGCCGGTAGATACCATTCCTTAGTATATATTATTTGGTTACTTTTGAATTTAATTTAATACTTCTCAATTTGTATATATTACTTGGATACTTTTGGATTAATTTAATACTTCTAAATTTGTATATATTACTTGGTTACTTTTGGATTTATTTAATACTTCTAAATTTGTATAAATTACTTTGTTACGTTTGGATCAATTTAATACTTCTAAATTTGTTACTTACGGTTAGGTTTTTTCTTCTTCTGAATACGCTAGGTAGGTTTTGTGTTACTAAATACTTTTAGATTACCTAATTAACATTTGCTAATCTAGCTATATGGAAATTCAGTGGTCACTTCTAGGGTTCGTTTCGGCATTTTCTGCGAGAGGGTGTCACTTGAAAGATTCGTATTTAAAATTTCTTTACGCGTGGACGCTGGCTAAAGTATATATTTTCTATACAAATTATATTTTTCTTATTTTATGCTAAATGCCCCCCTACTCGAATAGATGCTATAAAGGAAATATTGAAACCAGGTTAATTCATATATACGATAATGTTCTTTATATTCCAGTACCTGTATATACAGTCAGCGTCTAAAGACACACAAACCGAGTTATCTCCCATCGGGTTTACGGCCGCACCCAGAGGCTTGGCATCCACAGTCGTGAGAAGGGGAGACGTGGTGCAAAACTTCACCGACGTGTCCTACAACAAGGGCGGCTACTTCAACCCCTCCACTGGCGCGTTTACCGCCCCTGTCGCCGGCCTTTACTATACCAGCCTGACCATGTCCAAAATGAACCAGGGCCGGATCGACCTTCACGTGAAGCATAGACCGGAAAATTCCGGCCGAGGTGACCGGCCCGTGAAAATTGTCTGCCGGGCGCATAGTGGTCAAGACGAGACGAGTTCAACCGGTGCCGGTTTGTGTTACTTGGAAACGGGCGACAGTCTCTACGTTGTTGCTGTCACTGTTTCACAAGATGCTGTTTTAAACTGCTACTCCAGTTTCTCGTGCTTTCTTGTTAGTTAATTAATCATTAACATTGTTGTTTCGACCTAATTGTTTTTTTTTTAATGAGTGAAATTGAAGGCCTTGTGATTTACTTATTCTTTAAATTTAAAATAAATATTGCTCTTAACAAAATAAAATCTTATGTAATTTTAAATATCTTCAAATTTAGTTTAGCTGAATGGCCGAACGGAAGAAGAACCGAAAATTAACTAATTTCGAAAATGAAAATTCCAGTCAAGTTGAGATTAATGTATGTGTGTTTGTATAGTTTGAGTGTGTTGAAGACTAAGGGAGGAAGCTAGAGGCATATTTTGCATGAATATTTATTGTATCGAGAAAATGAAACCAATTAAACTTATGCCTGTGGCTTACTCCGTTAAAGGGGCTTAACCTAGAGTTTTGATCATACAAGGGTAATAGGCTTGAAAAGTCGGTTCCAAAAGGTTGTTGCCAGAAAGCATATTTTTCAACCAAAAATAACTATTTTATAACATTTGTGAAGTAAGTACAAAACAATTTCCGGTTTTATTAAGGCTAGAAAAATTCAAACAGATAATTACTAGTAGTATAATTTAGCTAAATTTTTTATTTTTTTTCGTTCGATTAGTAGATAAACTACAAGGCTATACCCCTTAGAAACAATAATTAAAGCGTAATTAAAATCAAGATTTCCAATTTTTTAAAATATAGGTCTAATCAATCCAGATCAGACATATTCGGCCAATGATTTTGAAATCATGCATAACCGATTTGTCCCCCCCCCCCCCCATCGTTACTCTGCTTGGTCCATAATCATATGCAGGTATGGCTAAAACTAAACAAAACCACACCACATTCTTGATTATTTCCTAATCATTGGCATGTTTTACAGCTAGGACAGATGCTTTATTTAAATACTTTAGAAGATTTAAGTAATATTTACAAAATACCAAAGTTGAAAGCCAAAACACAACACAAGATAATTTAATAATTGTTCATTTCGAACATGATATACTACATATAATTTGTAAAAAAGTACAAGGCAAAAAACAATTCAGACAATACCCTGCTATTTTAAATTGTATAACTAAGCAAACTGTTTTATTGGAATCTTGATCGTGTTAGTTGTCTCTGATTTAACACAACTGTAACTGGTACCTGACTCTGGTCATGGACATTAAAAGCTGTTTACATTGTGCTGACCAAATTATTTATTCAAAAGGAGAGGAAATAAAATCTATGTAAAATTTACTTCAGCATCATATTTTTTTTTACTTTTTCAACTTCGCCAGATGAAGTAAATTACTAGACTAGGTAAGTAGTGAATATAAACCAACACTAGCGCACCCAATCAATGCTTAAGAAAATAAACAAAATACAATTTTAAATTATTTATTTTTTATCGTCACATACATTCAGAACAGTTAAAAAATAAACAATTGTTTAATATGAAACGTTTTTCTTGGATCCAACATGTATGTGTAGGCTGATTTCTGTAAAACCCGACCGATGTAGAGCAATGCTGTGAATGAAGACTTCAGAGCTGGAGGATTTGGTGAGATGATGAGTTTTTTAAATAGAATTTTATCTTGACTTGTGTCTTCTCTGTATGTAGCTGTTACATCCAGAGAACCTAAAAATAATCCATCAATACATTTTATAAACTGTTTTATTAAACGCATTATGTTTACATACTTTCAACTCATACTGGTATAATTTATTCTTTTAAATTATAAAGCCAGAAAGCAATCTTGAGAACATGCTTATTTGGCATTGTATATTCATATATAATTATGTCTAACAGTTTGCTTTTGATGTACAAGGTTTGCCGTTAAATACTCTACGAAAGTCATAGGCCTATACATTTCGTAAAAAAATAATTAAAAATGTATCAATATAGATTACTACTTATGTTTGGGTGCTGATAAATTGCGATACGGTAAATTGCGAGAAGAAAATGCGAGATATATATGCGGAATCACAGGTAATAGCGAGAAACAATTTGCGAGCCAATTTATTTGTTTTAATGTTTTGGTGGTTTGTTTTTTTACTTGACATGTGAGAAGAAAAAATTAAAACGAAACAAGTACATATTTCACGAGTGCTGTATGTATTTCTCTTTAAAAAATAATTCTTGATCTGGTTTAGATCTAGATTTGTTTTAAATATAAACAAAATATGTTAAAAACAAAATCTTAACATAATTGCTACTATGATCACCTGTTCACGTTTCATTGTCAGAGTGCGAAAAATCCCATCTTGGTGGACGGGTCACTCTGAGTTTAAAAGTTCTAGACATTGTCGCCCGAGAAAAATAATGTAAGTTTGAGCGATTACAGTCAGTGCATTTACAAACTTTAACGTATGTCATAGCCTGAACAATAGCAATCTGAGAAACGTGCTTGGAGTCATTGTGAGTTCATATAATCTTGTCAGAGGGAGAAATATTCAGCCACATTGTTAATGTAAAGCCAACATACATTCCGATCTTAAACACTTCGTATAATTGTACTTGTAGAAAGCATAGAAGTACAATTTTAAAAGTGACATTTGTGACATTTATTATTTTACTCTCCTTGGCCATTCTGGTTGACTTGAAGGAGGGGTTGAGAACGGTTTTTATAAATATTTGAATTAATAAAATTATTCTAAAATTATTTCTACGGCTTATCTTTAATGCGAAAATATGAAAATGAGTGTATTCGATGGTTCCGCAACGGCTTTAATTTTAAAAAGGTAACCATAATTTTATCGCTTCCCATATTTTTTTTTAAAGATTAAAAAGAAAACTAGTATGATTACATAGACTTTTTAAGACTATTGAACATACTTGCGAAATTGAACGTTTATAACTTACTGTTTTAGAGTGCGAAAGCTTCTTTTTAGTTTATTTAATTTTAGAAGGAGGTAGTTTTTAGCGTGTTAATTTTCCTAACGAGGATAATGCGATCAATCTTTTTAACTCTCTAAAAATCTATTGAGTGTAGAAAAGTTTTTCTAAAAAACTGAAGGCATTGTTAGGACGGTGTTTCTTCTTCTTCTTCTTCTTCGTTCTTAATTATTTGTGTTGAAGGGGATCGAGATTTATCTGCCAGTGGGTATTGAACTCGAGACTTTTGTTCGAATTTATCAACCATGAGCTTTTTGCCGACTCGACCACGCCTCCAACACAATTAAGCGTTACGTGTCAACTGGTTATGCGCCATTGAGGCCATTGACTCCGATTTCAGCCTGCTTTGGCTAAGGGCATTGTCATTTAAAACTTCTTCTTCTTCGTTCTTAATTTTAGTGGTGGAAGAGATCCCCCCCCCCCAACACAATAAAGTATACGTGTCAACAGGTTATGCGCCAGTGAGGCCATTGACTCCGATTTCAGCCTGCTTTTCTTTTTGGGTTTGCTTCCATAGCCTTTGTCCAACCAAGAACAAATTACATGGCAGCAGTTGTTTGAATTTGGAGTTGTCTTTCCTAGAAGAGTGGCTGTCCCCAGCTAACGAGCCTCATCTGCCCGTGGGTTCGAACTGGAGACTTTTCGGTTTAGCAACCATGAGCTTTACCGACTCGACCACGCCGACCCCGTGCCGGTGTTTAATCTCAATGAAGTCCCTGTGTTGCCCACCCAGCTGGGAAAATGGAGACAACTGGACATACATCTGAAAACGATGTCTCTTTATATACCGGGTCACCGAAACAGGTGAACTGTACTTTATCTGCCCCATGGATATTTGGGTTGCGAAAAAAACTTTACCTATTACTGCAGTATAACGTGACAGTAGGACATTACACTTACTAATGTAATACAGCACAAAGAAGTAATACATCTTCCTTAACCACTTCCGTGTTTGATAAGATACGAGCCGACCCGCGGCGAATCATACACCGCTACTTAGTTTTTTTTTCTATTTCTACTTTTCAGTAATTCACAATTTGAATGCTGCCACTGAAAATATTTGCTTTAAAACACTAAAACCCTCCTTTCCCCCAACCCCTAACCCCCCCCCCCCCACCCGTGAAAGCAGCTTCCTCTTAGTTACCTCCCCTAAGTTTAAAATCGTTTCAAACAAAATTATATGCCCCTAATAGCCCCTAATAGCCGTCACTAAACCCTGCTCTACGATTGTAAACATTTAGAGTGAACCACAGCTCACCAGACCATGTGGGGGTGGGTGTGTTAGGAAGTGAGGGGGCTGCTAGGAGGCGCGCTTACAGCTTGGTGTTTTCTAGCGTCTCCAAGAAGAGAATTATATGTATAGAAGTACAATCCCTTTGTGTTAACTTTACATTTAGAATCCCACTGTTAACGTTATCCTATCTGGTCACGACGATGTAACCTGCCTCTGCCCCTCCCCGCACTCAAGGGTATTACGTCACTCATCGATTGCCCTCGTAGTCATTCACAAACTGAAACCAATCAATAATACTCCTGTTATAATGAAGGTCAGGGACGGTGATGCAGGCTATTTTTGTAAGAATATTTCCTAGAAGTTGAAAATGAAACACAATGAACCCACGACTGTGGATAACTTGACACACAGGACAGCAGAGTGTGATTGTTACACGGGTAAGTGAAAGATGTATTGTTCATTCAGAATTTATAATTGTCTCTGTTCTAATATTTTGTTTTTCTTTGTGTTCATTCCAGACTGTATTTATTTTATCGGATTGATTCACATATCCTAATAGTTTGATCCTTTACTAACGATTGTTTAACTTAGCGGTAATGTTTTTACTTTCTCGTATACGAAGTATAAAGGAAGTATTGTAATCGTGCATATGATCGAAATAAAGATCTTCACAAACCTCGACATTTTACATCTTCCTGAGTCGGAAAAACTTAGTTTTGCAATTTTGTCCGTTTGTCTGTGTGTGTATCTGTGTGTGTATATTTGTGTATGTCTGTAAAGTTGAAACAAAACTACAAATTTGATATAATTCTTATATATGAAATTGCATCCACCTAGCTGTAACGGTACTCAAGTTATCGTGTTGACTGACACAAATACACACACAAATACATACACACATACACACACACAGGCATACGGACAATATTGCGAAACTGTTTTTCCGACTCAGAGAGATGTAAAACCCCTAGATTTGTGTCGAGATTTTTTTGCACGATTGCAATACTTCCTCTCTACTTCGTATACGAGAAATTAAAAAAGTAACAATAGAAAATGGTATAACTACAAACAGGTAGACAGTGTACAGGCTGGTACATATCGGTAATAACAAGAGCTCATATACACACATAAGTCAAGCTAGATACAAGAAATATATATATGCATATATATATATATATATATATATATATATATATATATATATATATATATATATATATATATATATATATATATATATATATATATACATATATATTTCTTGTATCTAGCTTGACTTATGTGTGTATATGTGCTCTTGTATAATAAATACATTATAATATGTTATTCTAATGTTAAAAAAAACATTAAAAAGGTTTTAAAAGGGTCGATTTCTAAAGAACTTTTAAGCCATGATGTTGTTGGTAGATTGGTGGATCAAGAAAACAACGTTGTTTATATTTCGAAAAACGAAACGAAAAATGGAGTTAGAACAACCTGGTTCTAGAAAAATCGATATGTGCACATTTTTTTAACTATATATTTATATATACTGTTGTTTACCTAATTAATGACGTATTCCTATTATCTTTTTACAATTTTATAAAGTATCCAAGCCATGTCTGACACAAACATGCAATCAGTTTTAGATGCAATTGAAAAACAAAAGGATGAAATAAATACTTTAAAAGCAAACAGAGATTCATTTGACGGTAAAGTGTATTATTTCTTGATTTTGTCTAAAATTTATTGAGGAGTGGTATAGCATTTATTTAAAATTGTACATAAATATTCTTGGTGTCATTCATTTTACATTCCATTTTATGAACGATACTAAACCTTGACATGATTATGTCCATATTTTTGTGCATCGAATGCCAAAATGTTGTATATTTCTATAATTAAAAATATAAATGTTATCGTTTTCAGAAACTTTGATGGCTCTTAAAATTGCGCTAAGAAACGTGAAAGAAAGTGAAAAAAAGAGATATGAAAAAATGAAAAGACAAACGCTTTTTTACGTAGAAAAACAAAACATTAGCACTAAAGTTTTAGGGCATGTCTTACAGAATTACTTAAGACTAAATCAAAGGTTAGAAGAAGTTACCAAGAAACAACATGAGTTCTTTTCCTCTTTTAAAGAGGAATGTAACGAGATGAACAACAAGATAAAAACCCAAGATACAAAAATTGATAACGTAAAGGTGGAACTGTCTACGTCTCAACTGGAATCATTAGCCAGATGTAATTCACTTGAAAAGCAGCTTGATAGTAAAATAACAACTGAAGCCATGACTAGACGCGAAGAAGTTAAAAATGTGGCTTTTGATATTACTTTATTGAAAGGAATAAACCGAACTAAAGACACTAAACTTGAAGAACTTTCTAAGAAAAACAACGACCTGGCCGAAAAAATGAAAAACAAGTTTGATGAGCTGATGAAAGAGGCACATGGTATAGAAGAAAGAAGTCAGCAAGATGTCAAGAATTTACATGGTAAATTAATAGTAACATTTTAAATTGTGGAATGGTAATGTTATGATATTTTAAAATCTATTGCATGATTCTGTTTAATATTTATATTCTTTAAGAAAATGTTCTTAAAACTGTGAAAGAAAAGTTGTCATAATTAATTTTCCGATTCTTCATCTGCGAAAAAGAAACCGCCTAACAGTTTCGTTTTTTTCTCCAGTCGAATGACTTTACTCCAGTTTCAGCCCATATAATTCATTACATAAGTTCTCCATGTCAGTTTCCCCCATCTAAGCAGTAAATCCAATGAATGAGAATAATTATTGTATGTTCACTTAAAGTAAACAACGCCCTTACGATATTGAATATTTCATTCATATCACCTCTTCGAATTACAAAATATTAATTAAAAGAATTGTTTATCACAACCGTAAACTAAGTTCACTCGATAGTAAGTAACACCTTGCCTATAAAGTACAGATGAGCGTATAGTTCTTATAATATGAAGTCTTAACTGTAACATTTTAACTACAAGAATAATGCGACTGCAATATTTTAGAACATCTTACATCAGATATCACAAAGTTGTCGACGTACAGCAGTGGGTTTATCGTAGATAATTTTGTGCCAAATATTTTCCACTACATTGAATAATCTTTAGTATTTCATGCGATTAATGAAGTATAGATTAATTCGACCTCAAAACAAATTTGTAAATATTTTTTTATGAATTCATATAAAGTTTATTTTTATCTAATGTAGCTTCAATTAATGAAATAAACTCAAAATTGAATGAACATGATGGAACGATTAAGGAACAACAGGCTAAAACCGTAGAGTTAAATTCTACCTTCCTTGTGTCATTGTCGATGACGGCATCCAGCTTGAATTCACAGCTGCAAGAACTAGACAATAAAGTACAAAAAGAGAAAAAGAATGTTCATGACGAATATAACACTTTAAGATCACTTATTCTGATGATAAAAGATACACATGAAACCCGGTTCTCTAACCTTGCTGACCTTACGAAGAAAAATGACGAAGATCAAAAGGCTTTACAAAGTGAGTATATTTCACTTTTTTTCTGTTACATCTGATAATGAATGGAGAGTATACTAAGTTCTTGTCAAATTGGTAGGGCTTGTAAGTAGGTCACCAATATACCATTAAGCATAGTGAGACTGCATTTTTTAATATTTCCTCAAAGTATACTTTATTTAAATTAACTAAAATTATTTCAACTTCGCATAGTTATTTTCTGTTTTATTTTGACTTTCGTCTTTTAAGTTAAAACGTATAGAATTAACATTTACGTAGAAAATGTCGTGCCAAATAATGCCTCACTACTGTATTTCCTATAATATCACATAACTTGTCATTACTGTTTATAAATACAGTAAATATAGTTTACACATAGCAAGAAATTCTAAATAATTGTTTTACCTTTACACTATGTTTACTTTTATCTAATGTAGGTTCAGTTAACAAATTATACTCAAGAATGCACGAACAAGATGAAACGGTTAAAGGTCTACAGTTAAACATCGAGGAGTTAAATGCTAGCTTCTTTTTGTCATTGTCGGAGACAGATTCCAGGTTTAACTCACAGCTACAACAACTGGACAATAAAATACAAAAAGAAAAACAGAATGTTCATGAAGAATACAATACTGTAAGATCTGATATTCAGTTGATCAAAGTTGGAAATCAAACTCGGGATTCTAAGCTTATGGAACTCGATCAAGACCAAAAGACTTTACAAGGTAAGTACAACGTACTATTTGGGACCTGATTTGTAAATAAAGAAGATGAGTAGGATATATACGTTTTGGTGACCTATAGACCTATATTATGTTTATTAATTTGCTCAGCCAACTTTATACTCTCATATTGACTACACAATCACCAGCCGTTGTTTCAGTAATGTGACACGAAAGCATAAGTCTGTTTAAATAATTACATATATTTCAGGTTTCCATTCAAATTTTTTGTTATTTATTCGTTATATTGTGAGGTTTAGACGTTGAACATTGCCGTTCTAAAACATTTCCTCTACTGAATTTCAAATAACATTTTAAAAATTCAATTTATCATTAACACAATTATACAATGAGGATAGATTTTACGTTGCTTGAAAATGTCATTAATATTTCTAGTGATATTTTGTACTTTTTACTAATAAGTTCATGAACATGAAGAAAAGGGATATTTGTTCTTTTATGTCTAGTTTCAGTGAATCAGCTAAGTCTGAAGGGCATTGATATGAGGAACGACACAAAACGCATCAAACAAAGGATGACAACAATGGAAGACCTGATCGCTTCCGTTTCAGAGCAACAAAACATGTTCATTTCAAATGTCACGGAGAGATGTAATAAATTGGACGACCAGTTAAAAGACCAAGAAAAGAAATTTGATAGCGTGAAAGCAGAAGTTTCTATTTCTTTCTCTAATGCTTCAGCCGAATTAAATTCACAATTTCAATTGATTGATAATAAAATAACAACAGAAACAAAGAATTTGCATGAAGTTATCAACAATTTGAGACGTGATACTCTGTTGATCGAAGATACTAATTCAAACAGGGACAGTAAGCTCCAGGAGCTAACAAGTAAAACTGATGACATAACAAAACAGATGAAAAACATGAATGGCGAGCTGGACCAAACAATTAAGGCCTTTGATAACAGATGTCTGCACGCCATTGAAATTTTGCAAGGTATGTGAATTTTTTAGATATATTATACTTACCACTGATCGCATGGAATGACAATAACCTCCCTCGAAAAATGGAGGTTTTGAAAACATACATTTTAAAATTAATGGCAAATATATCCTTAAAGAATATCCATCAAGTTAATAATGTCCTAATATTAATACATCGATTTGAGTGCAGTTATATGCTTGACAACTGTCTTATATAAATTAGTTTTACGAACAGTGTTTCATTGTCAATCATGGAGACGTTCACTTTGATGTTAATAAAAACAACAATAGTAGATATTGAGTATTTTTTCAACAAAATAATTAAAAACAAAGATAAAACAGTAAAGCCAGATGCTATCTTTAATAAAGGAAGAAACTGTCATGTAATCTATAGAGTCCATGAGAGGGGCTAACTTTTTTTTTCTAATCTTATTTCTAGGCGAAGTATTTGACTTAGAAACGAATGTCAAGGATCTGGGAAACTGTAACACGGAGACCAAACAGAAGCAGACGACAATGGATGAGCAGATTACGTCAATGTACAGTAGACTAGACAAACTGCAACAAGACGGAGATAACTTTCGGCAGTTCAGAGATTTAGCAAACCGTAAGCTTTTGAATATCAAGGTCACGTGTGACACTCTGGAAGGCAAGTTGACTGCTGAGGGTAAAAACGTAGAAGAGCTCAAGAGAAAGCTGCAAGTTCTGTCTAAATCAGTGTCAGACAGTTCCGCTGTAATGACTTGCCATCTGACAAAGTTGGATGGGGTAATAAAAAGAGAAATACAGAACAGATCTAATGAAATATGCAGCCTGAAATGTGAGATGCAAGCGATGGAAAAAGAACATCAAAAAGGCAATTCCAAAGTAGTTGACCTGTATCTGAAGTATAACGCTCAAGAAAACGAATCGAAAAACTTACGTGATGCCATAGATGAGTTGGATTCTGCGAGAAAAATGTTGGAACATCGCTGTCAACAGTTCCATACACGCTACAAGGTTAGAATGTAGTTCTTAGATTACAGGCAGTTCAGAACGAGTAATACACTATCATTTTGACTATATTGAAATTAGTGCTTTGTCAAATTCATGTAAGCTAGGGCTAAAGGTATAGTTTGAGCTCATTACATAAAACATGGATCTAACAAAATTTGAGTGAGCGTGTGAAAGAATTTTTTTCTGCGTATGTTTGTATAAAAGTAACTCCTGTTTATCATTTTGGGTTGGATTTATCTTTCCGGACTGGCCGAGGCTTTCTCGTTATTTTTTGTTCTCATTTCGACCACGAACGGATATATTATAAACTGGGTAGGCTACTTGGCCGCAAGCAACGTGCACTGTATTTTGTCCGTTTTATTTTTCTTAGAGGGATGTGTTTATTTTATGCTTGAAAATATTTGTTAGTGTGTGGTGAGGTTGTTGGTCAATGACTTTAGGCTTATTTCCATTATGGAGGATATATTGGCTTTACTGTGGTTTGTATCACGTTATTTTTAATTACTTAGAAAATGTGTTTATGCTGAAATTACTACTTATAATTATGTTTTAACCTTTTGGGTACCATATGCGTTTCTTGGTCAGACTGTTATTAGATTACTTATAAGAACGGATTTTAGTATTTAACAATATATAATTAGTGTTAATAGTAGGGATTAGTGTTTTACTCGAAGCCTTGGCTAGTTATCGTTAGTAGTAGTTAGCATTAGTATTTTAATATTTTTTAAAACCATGTTTATGTTAATTTAAATTGTATATAGTTTTCATTTATTTTATTCATGATTTCTATTTCTTCTCTTCTTTTTCTCTTTTCCATTCAGGTTGGAGTTGCAACTTTACTGGGTGTTTGTTTAGTGTTTTGTTTGATGTTTGTTTAGTGTTTTATTTGATGAGTTGTTTGCTTTATTGTGTTTTGTATGTTTTGTTTGATGTTTTGATTAGAAGTTTTATACAATTAGATTGTAGTGAATTTATTTGATTGTTTGAATATATTGGTTTAATTTTTTTAATCAATATAGTTGATCATCTTGTTGTTTAAAGGTTAGGGTTTTACCAATCTGGGTTAAGCCAGAGTTGCACTCACGCCCGTTAATAAGATAACCCTTAGTGGTGGATTAGAATTAGGGTTTTGTCAGGGCTTGGAATTGGTAGCAAGAGTTGGGTCAGTGTTTTAGTGAAGGTAAATGGTTTTTGTTAGGGTTAGAGTAGCTTAGAGAATATTTTTTTCTAATTGGTCCCCATGGGACTATGTACGCTTAGATTTGTGTTTAGAGTAGGGATTGTAAAAACACCCAGTTAGGTTGATGGAGAGACGTGTGATGGTCAGCCATCAGTGTACCAGGCTGGGGCAGACAATGACCAAGGTGTGGCACGGGACCTGATATGGTGTGAGGCAGACCAGTGACTCGGCATTAAGGAAGGCAGCCGACCAACCCGCGAAAGGATTTTGTCGTCATGTACTTGACGAACAAGGAGATCCATCTAGGCAGTACCCCCACGGTCTGTCTATGTGGGTGCACAATCAAAAGGGGCGGATGGCAGTCGGAAAACCCGTTGTGCAGAATAGTTGAGTTATCGCCCTGACCAACAAAGCGGCCTCCAGTGCTTAGCTCAATGGCCAAACTGGTGGCCATTGTCTCCAGGCTAAACAACAATGATAAACATATTTTAGGTCGGTGGTTTGTCTGCAATTATTTGCTCAGAGAGGGCACCATGGCCCTGCATAGCGGTGAACTTGTGTGACTGTACAAGAATGACCAAATCCATCCTAGAGTGTTGCCAATGACTGTTCATGTAGGCAGACCAGTGACGGAGAACGTGGTGCCATTTTTTTTCCTATTGCTGTTTGCTGAAATTTTTGTAATTTAAGTTTAAGTTACATATATTTCTATCCGTTTTAAATATGGATATTTTTTTTCCTTACATGGCTGTAAGTTTTTAAATAAGGGTGAATGTAAGCGGTTGAATAAATGTTTTTGTAAATTTGCGAATGTTTGGAAATAGTTCATGTTTTTCATTCTGGATTGCATTTGTCCTTCGTTCTATTATCATACTTTATTTTCTTCGTTATTGTGGATTACCCACTATGGCTAAATTTGTGTAGGCAGTTTGCTAGTTAGTTTCTTATAGCGCAAGATTTAGAATGTGTTGTTTTCAAGTCTCAAATTTAAGTGAAATTTAATGTCATATTGCATAGTCATTGGGTCTTGACCACGTGCCGAATTTCAAATAAAAAAATTGGTTAAAAGTGCCCCATATTTTGCTCCCAGGTTTTAATCTATACAGACAGAGAGACCGGGGGACAAGAGGAAGCAAGTTAAATAAAAGCTTGCAGAAACGTTTTAATACAAAGCTTTTATGTGATAATGCACTAAAAAGGGGAAAAATTACTTTATTTAAATATATAATAAGACATTGCTATTTAAATTTTATGAATTAATTACAATGTTCTGAAATTAGTAGGCTCTCTCACTACTACATTTTCGCACTATTATACGCGCCTTATCATGTTCATTTGGTGCGCAATAGTTTTCAGTCATGCAACTCTAATGTATAAAAAATTAAAATGTACTTTCAAAAAAAATTCCTTAAAAATGTTTTATAAGCAAGCTTTTATATAATAATGCACTAAAAGGAAGAAAATAAATGATTTTCTTTAAATATGAAAATGAACTACTATTAAAATAACTATAAAGAAAATTTCAACGGCAGCCTGAATAGGAAGGTAAAAATTTATTTTTTGTAACATTGCAGTAAAAGGAGAAAATAAATTATTTTATTTAAATATATAATAAAACACACATTTTTAAAAAACCTATAAACACTAATCCCTTCTACTTACACTAACTCCAAAATCTAAAATATTAAAATCAGTTCTTAAAACTAATAATAATAATTAATACCAGTCTTACAAAAAAAAATGAAAATTTTACCCAACAGGTTTAATTATAATTACAAATAGTAATCTCAGCACAAGAGTTTCGGCGGAAGTCAAGGCACACACCCGATTCACGATCAGATTTTGAAAATGTGGACTGTACAACTATTAAGAAGGATTCGGTTTAAAGCGCATAAGAAACTGGTAGGGTTGGTACCTCCAAAAAGATTAAGAACCACGGCTTTAGAGTGTAGTTTGTAGAACGTGCAAGCTTTCATTATTTGGTCTACTTTAGGTCGGATCTTTAGAGCAATTTCGATAATAGTGTATTACAGTTTTAAATTATCAATTAGGTTGAACAAAGTAACAAAGCTTTAGCAGTCGTCGTGTTGTACCATTTTTCCCACGTTTTCTTTAACTTGCTTTCGCGTCTGTTTGTTTGTTTGTTTATTTGTTTGTCTTTCCATCAAATCTTGCGATCGAAATTTCGGGCACTTCCCAGTTAGCTAGCGCGCTGAAATTTTCAGGGAAGCTTTGTTTCCGATGACAATACAATATTACATTGTTTAGTAAATCTAGGGGCCTTAACTATATGAAAATTGCAATCTTACAAAGAACTAGTTTTGTCATTTCTTACCAAAACTGGCTAGTCTTCCTCTTCTTTGTTCTTATTTTTAGTGTTGGAAGGGAACCCCCCCCCCAACACAATTAAGTATACATGTCAATTGGTTATGCGCAATTGATGCTATTGACTCCAATTTCAGAACAAACTAGAAGGCAGCAGTTGTTTAATTTTGGAGTTGTCTCTCCTAGAAGAGTAGCTGTCCCCAGCGTACGAGCTTATCTTCCCGATGTCTCGAACTCAAGACTTTTCGGTTTAGCAACCATGAGCTTAACCGACTCGACCATGCCGACCCCAACTGGCTAGTGAAATTGTACATTACGCTTTAATACAATTGGTTTATATTCTAAGTAATAAATTTATCTAATTACCGTTCCGGAGTAATCCCTTCTCATTTACATTGGCAAAAAAAAAGCGCGCCGCGGCCACCCATCATATATTTATTTTAAATTTTACTGTTACACAATACGTTTAATACAATTGGTTACTTTTCTAAGTTTTAAAACCACTAATACTAATAACTAACATTTTTCCAAATGCCACACAATCGTACAATACGCTATAGTAAAATTAGTTACTTTTCTTAGTGTTAAAGTTTATCTACTCACCAATCAAATTTAAATCTTTGCGATTTTATTTAGCGAAAAGCGCCCTCCGCTTCACCCAAAAAGCCACTACGTTTTTTTACGGTTAAACAATCGTACAATACGCTTTGCTGCAACTGTTTTCTTTTAAAAGTGGTAACGTTTATCGACAAACCAATCTAGTGTAAATTATTCCTATTTTTTTGTACACCCTCCCTATCTAGGTAAAGCTGGAAAGCAGTTTTTTTATGGTCACTGTTTCTAAAGGGCATATGTTTTACAGTTGCGCTATCAAGGTAGAATTGAGTTAAATAAGTATGTAAAGGCTTGTAGCCATAACATTTCTTAGACTGTTTATAAAACAAAAACTGCAGCATCAAATCAGCTTTAAAAAAATGTTCCACCCCCTTTGGCGCCCCCCGCCCCCCCCCCCCCCCGGTCAGCACCCGTGGCGGCTGCGCCCCTTCCCCTACCTACGCCTGTGTAACCTATACTGTCCCATACATAATTTTTCTCGAAATTTAGCGTTTATTACATCCTGCTTTAAAGAATGGAAGCTTTTCCTCTTTTTAGTTCTGTTAATTTTAGAAGGGAGTTGTTTTTATCGCCTTTATTTTCCTATCTGGAATAATTTGACGGGCCTTTCTAAATTTCTTAAAATTAGCCGAGAGGAAAAAAAGTATACACAACACCTGGATGCGTTGTTATGCCGTGTTTTAATCTCAATGACACACTTGCATTATGTGTATCTAATCTGGTCAAGTGGAGACAACTTGATACACATCTGATAACGATATCTCATTAGATTCCGAGGTCACTGAAACAGATGAACTGTTTTTTCTGCACCATATAGATCTTCGGGTTGGATATAAAACTTTACTTATTAGTGCAGTTTAGCGTGACGGTAAGACATAGCTCTAATGTACCACAGCACATTAAAAGTGATAAAAATGCTTCCTTGTTTTATAATATTTGTAAAATCCCATATTTTACATTTAGAATCCCACTATGTTAACATAATCCCATCTCGTCACGACTATGTAACCTGACCTCCCCCTCGCATCACGTCAGGGGTTTTACATCACGGATCAATAGCCCTGAAAAGAGGTTTTCACAAACTGAAATCAAAACTGTATGTCGACACACAATTTTTCCCGTTTTGTGATACAACGAAAAAAACACATTCCATTTTCTACTGTCTGTTACCTGATGGGATGGTGGTGAGCTGGATGGCAGGCTATTTTTAGTATATTTTCTAGAATTGGCAAATAGAATGAATACCCGATTGTGACCAACCTCACAACAATAAAAAAAAACATCCCATTTTTTACTATCTGTTACATGATTGGAGGGTAGTGAGGTGGATGGCAGGCTATTTTTAGAATATTTCATAGAATTGGAAGCTGAAAGAATACCCGATTGTGACTGACCTCACTTACAACAAAAAAAAAAAAACATCCAATTTTTTACTATCTGTTACATGATTGGAAGGTGGTGAGCTGGAGGGCAGGCTATTTTTAGAATATTTCCTAGAATTGGAAGCTGAAGGAATACCCGATTGTGACTGACCTCACTCATGGGACTAAACCTAACCACGATAGCAGAAAGTCTGGATGCTCGACTGGGTAAGCGGAAAATAATTCCTTCTCTATTCATTGTTTTAAATGCCCGTGTTCTAATATGTTGTTTTATTTTAATTTTTTTTATTAGAATATAGTTGATTTATTTAGTCCATTCACATAACGTTAATACATTGATAATTCCTAACGATTTCATAAACTCGTATAAATAACTCTGATTTAACATTTAAATTGTTTTACAAACTGTGCCGTTATATTATACCTGCACGGTGATGTTGTTAAACCATGAAGATGTGATTTGAAACAAGGCTCAACATTATATGTAGCTACCCCCTCACACACACTCAATAATACAAATAAACAAACGAATACTATTTCCTACACCTTTAATCCTAAGTTATATTTATGTTTCTCACACTTTATAGCCCCTCACACACACAACCCCCCACCTCTCAAGCCTATAACCCCCCCCCCCCCTCCACCCCATCTGCGCGGTCCTTACTGATCAGAGTTTAATACACTATTCACCACAAAACCACTCGACACTGATGTACACACCAAAGTAACACAAACACGTCCCCTTTCATCGTCGAAAGGAAAGATAGAAAATCGATAGTAGTATGCAATAACCCGTCTCAATTATAAACAATTTAACGATCGTTCTGCAATGCAATATACCACGCCGAACGTAATCACGTATGTACAGGTTATGATATTGAAAAATCTATCAAAAACATTGAACATCACAGTCAATATTATTTGTTATCGCAGTGTTTGAGATTACAGGATAACCAACACATTAGGTTACTCTGTCAAATAAATACACGTTACCAACTGAGGCGAGACATACTTCACCACATAACTCACCATAAGACTCACGGTACGCACGCTGTTACTCTAGTACGATCGGAGAGTGCGGTGAATTCCTGGAGACGTAAACGACTGACAAGTTGTCAAACAAGTAAGTAATTCAAATTACAAATGAACTGTTTAAAATTCATCACCTCTTTCTTTATTACTAAAATACGAGTTATGAATATATACAGAGCTTAAATATAAGTAACTGAATCTAAATGTTTCGTGTTTGACATTAATTAAAAAAAAATTACAGCGATAGATTTTCGTGTTTTTAAATAAAAATGCTTTGTAATGAGGCGCATGAAGCTGATACAATTTTTTTTGGGGGGCATGGGGGGGGGGGGGGGGGGGGGGGGCAAAAACTTACACCAATGTTTCTTTCATTTTTAACTTTCTAATACCTTAACGTACATTATTAGGTACGAGCCGACCCGCAGCGTATCATACGCCGCTATTTAGTTGTTTTATTTTCTACTTTTCAGTAATTCATAATTTGTGAATTCGACAGTACCAATGCTGCCACTGAAAATATTTGCTTTAAAACATTAACCCCCCCCCCCCCTTTCCCTTAACCCCGACCCTACACCCCCCCCCCCCGTGAAAGCATCCTCCTCTTAGTTATTTCTTAGTTACCTCCTGTAAGTTTAAAATCGAGCTAAATTATCTGCCCCTAATTTAACTTTGTAAACATTTTGCGTGACCACAGCTCACCAGACAATGTGGGGGTGGGGTGGGGGTGGTAGTGATAGTGATAGAGAGAAAGAGAGGGGACAGCAAGGAGGCGCTTGCAGCTTGTTTTCTAACGGCTCCCAGAAGAGAATTATATATATAGATGGTTTTTCCAGTTAGACATAACAACCCATTGCTCGGCAGATGAAGTAGATTTAATGTTTTTGGAATTTTGCGTTAAAGGGATGGTGTTTTCAGTATTTTTCTAAACCAAGCCACTGGCGTTGCTAGACCTGGTGTCACCCGGTGCGGCACTTCATGGTGTCACCCCTCCCTACACACAGCAAAGAAAAAAGTAAATATATATATATATATATATATATATATATATATATATATATATATATATATATATATATATATGTATATATATATATATATATATATATATATATATATATATATATATATATATATATATATATATATATCCGTGAATGTGTGTATGTATTGTTGACCTTTCAACTCTAACATTTCATTAATAAACTGGCAAAAAGCATTCTTCTACTCGATATTTTGCAATTTTGTGGTACATTGGTACAAATAAAAAAAGATACACCGTGGCGGAACATGGGTATGCAGCGTTTATATATATATATATATATATATATATATATATATATATATATATATATATATATATATATATATATATATATATATATATATATACTGAATAGAAGATTTGACCGCAGGTAGCCTATTGGTCGTATTTTTAAAACTTAAATGCCAAAAAAAATACTACTTCTCTTTTTATATTCCTAAAATTGTATAATTTAGTTATATATTTTACTTTCATTTTTGAATATCAACTTAAATGCTTCAGTTTTATGTTTTGCAATTTTTAGAACAAATTGAAAAAGATTTTGTTTCTATCCTATTTATAGGTCGTAAATAAATGACGTCAAGATTTTTGGGCGAATTCCCTACCTTAAACCTGTTAGTCTAACACGTCGTTAAAAGCCAGATTCCTCCTACCTAAAATTACGTCACTTTTTAGCGTAATCCCAATAATCCATTACTGCTTGCTTCAATATTCACACAACATATCCTACAAAATCAACGCAAGGATTTGTTTTCTAATGTTTTTGTTCTAATTGCTAAAGTGCTTTAAAAAGTTTTCTCAAAACCACCCCCCACTTCGTCAAATTAGTTCCTGCTTGGACTTATTTATGGGCTTTAAACCTACTATTTTCTTCTCAGATTTTTTTGGTTGGCATCAAAAACTTTGAACTACTGACAGCTACCACTTGACCGATATGGAGGTTGCAGAGTCTACGGTGAACGAGACGGATTTTACTGCATTTGTTGCAGATGTTTTTAAAGCTAGGGTACGTAGACCTACATGTTATGACTATACACCATGTGGAGCCGTTGAACATTGCCCATATTTATATATGTAATAAAACACTCACATTTTCCTGAACAATTCTTTGGATAAAGGTGTGTGTATGTTTGTATGTGTGTTTGTGTGTGTTTAGGAAATGGTAAATACAGACATTTATTGGAGGACCCTAAACCTAACCCTGTCGTTTTCTAGGTCCACCCATGGCTATAAAAATTACATTAAATGTTTGAACATTTTATCAAAAGAAATGGAATCGAAATTATAAATATGTTCAAGATTTGAAATTAATAAATTTATCTCAATTATACTTCACTATTTTCGGATATATTTACATCTTTTTATCAGTTATACCCATTGTCCTTATGTTTTGTTTATTTTGAAGACATTCAGTGCCACCTTTCTTGGGTTTCCTTAAGTAGCTGATCATATTGCTTGCAAAATTGATAGAAATTAATATGTCCAATTGTAACTACACGTCTGTCAGAATTGAAATGACTAGCACTATTGCATTTTTTACAGGACTACCTTCGACAACGTTGTCAAAACAACGAACAAGATGCAGGTCTGTATGTCCGTGATGCGGATTTTATTTTTTACATTTTATGAAGTAGTAATGTGTTGATTGCATTTCATATATATATATATATATATATATATATATATATATATATATATATATATATATATATATATATATATATATATATATATATATATTCCTTTTGTAACTACATTATCACTTTAGTTGCATAAACAGTAAAACGAAAGAGTAAAATTGAAATATAAATGATTATGAACGCCTCGCTTAAATCACACAAGGGCTAGCTTAAATTAATTAAAAATGAAAAGGTTGAATCATGGGGTGCAATATGACCGTAGAATAAGTAATACACGTGTTTATACCTTCTTAACGTCACCATTTTTTATTATAAATTAGTTTTGCAGCATATTCCGAAAGGTACCAATTTCAGACTTAGTAGAGCTGATCTCAAGATTGAACGAATTTTAAAGAGATGTCCTACCTAATTATAGTTATTGTAGCAGTATATTCCGTATTGTATCAATTTCAGACTTAATTGAACTGATCTCAAGAATGGACGAATTTGAAAGACATGTCCTACCTAAAGTGAAAGGCATTGAAAATGTCATACACAAAATTAATGAGGGCATTCCATCTAAATCTGAGCAAGTGTTAGCAACTGTTTTAGAAGCAGTTGAAAAGCATAAAGATGAGATCACTACATTAAAAACAAAAACAATTTCCACTGAAGGTAAAAATGATTCTTTCTTGATTTCGTTTAAGTTTAAAAATGCATATAGCTTAAAAAAATTGACAAAGTTGTTTTTTTCTGAAATTTATTTACCTTGCATTTGTCTTTGATTCTCCCCCTTTACATGATTATCTCACTTTTTAAAGCGTTTACTTGCATACTGTATATTCCTGTATTTTCGAACATATTTATTTCGTGCTTTCATCTTCTATAATTCTTAACTTTACAATAACAGATGTTGATATGAACAGATATGCAAATATAGGAAATATAAAAGACAAATCCTCTTTATTAAATATTGTACATTGGTTAATGTTTCCAAAAATTGTTCACGAATGTGTAAAAATATACAAAATATTTTTTAAAATTATTTTTCAAAATGTTCGATTTTGTAAATACGATGATATTTATACGATTCGCGTAGTTGTGTAATAGTAAATACCAGTGTAAACAAATAGATTTTTTTTTGCGAATTTGTTTTGTTACTTTTTTAGTTTTCCTGTATGATTCTGGTTCCTGAAATAAGAATTTTGTTTGCTTTTGTATCGTATACTGAGATAATGTGTTTTCCTCTATTTACAAAATATTATTTAAATTATTTTAGATTCTCTAATGGATCTTAGTTATAAGATAAGAGACGTTATAGATGATGAAAAGAAGGATATGAAAAAAATGAACAGACAGATATGTTTTTACGCAGTCAAACAATGTACTTTTGGTAAGGTATTAGGAAGTGTGTTACAACAACATGAGCTACTTAATCAAACAGTGATAGCTCAGAATAGTAAACTCGACTTCTTACAAACACAAGTTCAGGAGCTATCGAAATCTTTAACAGAATCCACGGACACAATGAAAAGGCACTTTACAAAACTAGAAGATGACGTAAAAACAGTAACTCGGGATCAGAATACCGAAACAAACAATATAAAATCTGATATTAAGTCAATGAAAAAAGCAAACAAAAAGACAGATTTTAGTATTTTAGAGATACACGATAAAATAACTGCTCATGATAATCAGCTCAAAGATAGCTTGGCTAAAATACATGACCTTGACATTTCAACTCAGGAAAAAATTAGCGAAAGTCAGGAAGACATCAAGCATCTTCAAACCAGATATGAATCTATCAAAGGTAAGGGCTTTTTTTTAAAAAACTGATTTCAATGAAAAAAAATACTGACGGATAGGTTATAGTATGTAAAAAATAGTAAGGAAAAGCTATTTTTATTTCATGAAAATTAGTTTGAAGTTATGCACTAACAATTATTAGCTAAGTATCCCAAAAATATAAAAGATTATGAATTCATTGATTATTACCTAAAGTGAAAGGCATTGAAAATGTCATATACAAAATTAATGAGGGCATTCCATCTAAATCTGAGCAAGTGTTAGCATCTGTTTTAGAAGCAGTTGATGGCCGCCGTTGTCATAGTTACCAAGATTTTTCCATCATTTTTAGTGAAAATACAAATGCAGATGTACCTTAAAACAGATATAGAAAAAACATTGTTTCCTAAAGAGTATTACAAAACTTTTTTTATACCGGTGACTACCCCCTTAATAGGGCTTGTAAGTCTCTTTGCTTCTCTTACTTAAAGTTTGAAATCTCGTTAGCCAGGGTCAGGTGAATTCTCAAACTATCATTATCAGTTTTAACGATTTTAAATAACTTAACAATAGCTTAAGTAACTTATCTTTCCTGTTACCGATTTAATAAACATATTCACAATTAGTATGAAAAATACTAGCTGGCTAGTATGATAAGAAGTTGGTGACCTACTTACAAGCCCTATTATAGAAATTACCCCGAAATAGCAGAAATTCAGTGTAGAAAACATAAGCTGTTTGTTTAATTAATTGACTATACTCCCCACTTTTTTGTTTTGATTAAAAATAAAATACTTGATTTTTTATTCCGAAAACACAATTTTCGTTCCACGTTAAAACTGCAATTACTCCAGTTAACGCCAAATTTTCTATTTGTGCTTAATATTTAAATTTGTTTAATGTAGGTTCTGTTGATGACATTGACATAAGATTGAAAGACATGGCTTTACAGTCGGTTACAGTCGGGCTAGTGGCAGAGGTTTCTGAGAAACAAAAGGAGATTTTTGACAGCGTTAATAAAAAATGTGACGAGATGGTCAAGAGGATAGAAATCCAAGATAAAAAAGTTGATGAAGTTAAAGCTGAGCTTTCTCAGTCTGTATTGGAATCTTCTACCAAGAGTGATTTACTTTTAAAACAGCTTGATGGTAAAATTTTAACTGAAGAAAAGATTCGCTGTGATGATGTTAAAAAAGTGGCATCTGAAATCAGTTTAATCAAAGAAACAAACCAAAAAAGAGACAATCAACTTGAAAAACTATTTATGAAAAACGACGACTGTGAACATCAGAGGACACACATCTTTGTTACGGTGGGTGAGCTGGAAAAAAAGACGTGTGAACTGGAAGAAAATCTTCTACTAGGCGTTGGGAATTTAAAAGGTAATTTTTTAGCGTTTTGTTAAAGGGGAAAAAAGATTCCTTTTTTATTTGTGGGTTTTAAAAATCCTATTAGAAGTCTCTGATTGTTATCATTATTTTTTCTCGTTCATGCTCAGGATAAATGGTGCATATGAAGTGGGGTTAATCTATTTTTAATGACTTTGGCATACAGGGATATAGTTAGCCAACACTATGTCCAGCCGACTTGGTTTCAATAACGTTAGTCAGATGCCCCTCAGAGCAGGGTAAATTCAGGAACGTCCAACAGACTCGGGCCTGGATTCAAACTATAGTCATTCGGTTAGCAGTTGTAAGCTCTACCATAAGACCTCTGATTGATAAATTTATTCTATAACTATGTGTTATTAATGTCAAGGCAGTACTGTTCTATGGCTCGGAGACTTGGAGGGTTACGAAGACAAATACTGATAAGCTACAGACATTAAAACTATTGATCAAAACTGTAAAATATTGTTACAGAAAAACTGGAAATTTTATTTATTACAACCATAGCTCGTATAATTTATTTACAAAATCCTACCCTTTAGTTTCCCGAAAGAAAGGAAACAGAAACACTATGCTAAATGGTCCTCCAAAAATAAGTTTAACTTGCTTATGGCTGGGAGATGATTCGGACCTTTGTGAAAATGAATGATTCACGACAGGGGTCAATATAGATTACATAAAGTCCAACTAAAACATTTTAAAAATTAATTTAACAGTTTGCTTTTAAAAGAGACGCAAATTACAGTTTAAAAGTCAGCAAAAAAGCAATTAGTCTTTAATGAACTACCCCACAGAATGCCTAAAATGAAAAAAAATAAAGACGAATTTTTAATAAATCTCGTAATTTTAATATTTGTATACCACATAGTCAGTAATGAAAATAACTTGGCTACCACTACGATCAACAATGTTAACTTGCTAATATGTAAAACATTGCCTTCGAACAACTGTTATTACTCTTTGGAGTCGTTAACTCTACTATTTTAACTTATAGGAACAATGCGACTTTGTATTGAAAAATGCGTAGGCCTACCTATATATATATATATATATATATATATATATATATATATATATATATATATATATATATATATATATATATATATATATATATATATATATATATATATATATATATATATATTTAAATAATTTTCCAATTACTTAAAGCTAGTTATTAGTAATTGTTTTTTTTTTGTCTTGTATTTTAGAGTAGCAGAATGGCTTCTTTCGTACATAAGTGCATGCCAAATATTTCCCACAATATCTATTTATGTAGTCTCTTTTTTATGACCAAGACATATGGGGTAGGTAAAGTAGAGTTCATCTGTTTCAATGACCTCGGCATACAGGGAATAGTTTGGTCAGCAATATGCACAGCCGACTTAAATTCCATAACGTGAGTCAGGTACCCATCAGAGCTGGGTGGACTCTGGATCCGAACTCTAGTCTAGCGCAAGACTCCGCCGTCCCCTCCCTCAATATTTAAGAACGAAAAATTCAAGTGATATACACTAAGGACAAATTCAATCTTGTATTTCTGTATTTTATCAAAAGCAAACTAAGTTTACTTTTATCATAATGCAGGTTCAGTTGACAAACTCCACTCAGAAGTGAGCAAACAGGATGAAACTGTAAAAGGTCAACAGGTTAAACTCGAGGAGTTAAAAGTTAACTTAGATAAGCTATCAAAGTCTTTGACGGTAACAGAAATCGACTTCAACAATAAATTAGAAAGGGAAATAAAGAATGGAATCGAAAGATTTATCAGAGTGGAAGATGATATTCTTTTGATCAAAGATTCAAATAAAATCACGGACTCTAAGCTCGCCGAGCTAAAGAAGGAAAACGACGAGAATCAAAAGACCTTACAAAGTAAGTTGACGTTTCACTTTTGGGCCTGAATGTTAATAGAGGCGATAAATTAGATGTATGAAGGGGTAGTACAGATGGTGTGAGGGCGTCACGAATCTCATGTTACAAGGTATTTGAACACACCAACTAGAACTCTTTGTGGTAATGCAATACAAGATGGTTTAATCCTATTGCTTTCTCATCCTCCAAAAACATTAACTTTCACTTTTTAACCCACCTTCGACTGTCCTCCCCTTTATCTCGCTCATAACACAACAACTGCAGTCGTTTCACTAGAACCCTTGTTCACTCGGTGGAACAAGTTATACGTCGACACATCCGGATTGGCGTATCGCTACAATAGGCCTATATATATATATATATATATATATATATATATATATATATATATAATTACAGTGATTCTTCCCACGTATACACCTTTCATACATATTAAATCACAACAGATAGTGTGTTCATGTCTAAGCTCTGCTACCTTTAATAACGAATCCGGTTTCCATTAGAGCTGTGGGTTCAGGTAAAACGTACAGACACGGATACATAGTCCGAACTCGAGACTTAAAAGTGAGTTGTTGTGCACTTAATCACCCTGTCGCATTTCAAAACTACAAGATTCTATTAAAGTTGTCCCACTAAATTCTTCGCAGAGGATAACGAAGTTTTTTTTAATTTAGTACATTATTAAATAAATCCATATTTGAAAACGTTTCTGAGACTAATATATTGTTAGCACGAAACCTCATTAAAGTGTGCCTACATTTGTAAAGGCTGTATGTATATCTGGTAGATTTATTATTGATCAGGTTACAGATTAATTAGGTTAATGTGTGCATGTGGCTTGATTACTACTTACACAGTTATACATGTTTGATATAAACATGTTTAACATAATGGACTTTTTATTCTGTTATCTCTAGATTCTTTAAAGGACCTTAATTTGAAGGTCATGGACATCGACAAAGAAATAAAAGGAATTACAAAGAAGCAGGATACAATGGAACAACTGACCACTTCCGTTACCGAAAAACAAAAAAAGTCCATCGCGAATGTTAAAGTCACATGTGACATTCTGGATTTCAAGATAAAAGAGCAAGAAAAGAAATCGACTAAGGAGAAAATAGACGTCTCCAAGCGTTTGTCTGAATTCACAACACAGTTTACTTCACAAGTGCAACTACTTGACAATAAAATAGAAACAGAAACAAAGAATATAAATGATCAATATAAAACTGTAAGATCTGATATTCTGTTGATGAAATATGCAAATAGAACCACGGACTCGAAGCTCAATGATATGATTAAAGACCTGTCTGGTCAGATGAAAGACATTGTAAGACAGGTAGGCGAGCTTGCCCAAGACCTGGATAGTAGATGTTTGCAAGTCAGAGAGACTTTGGAAGGTAGGGTTTAATTTTCTGCTGAAAGAATGACATTTAACATGGGTAATTATTTCCTATATCTCATTGAAGATTAAAGAATAAGTGTATGTATGATTAGTTTTTATTAGCGTCATTAGATAAGTGTTGCTGCCTAAAGATCTACTCCGATATTGTTCTTTTAAATTTATATAACTTTATAAGTTTTCTTTAAGTTTACACTTAGATGTAACAGTAATATTTTTTCACGTACATAAATGAGACATATTCCTTGAATATATTATTTTATGAGGCAAGGACAGATTAGATATTACATTTTATATCACGAATGTTTATCTATTTGCAGGTTCTGTAAATGATCTAGGGTTCAGATTAAAGTGTGTCGAGAAGAAAGCAAATAATATGAAAAGTGGAATCACGGAGGTGGAAAAAGAGTTCAAACTTGAAATCTTAAAACTTAAAGATGCTTCTAAAAATAATGACGCAACGATTAAAGGGCAGAATGTTAAAATCGATAACTTACAGAATAACATTGATCAACGTCTAAAGGATCTGTCGGACTTTTTATGGAAATTAGATTTGCGAGTAAAGCAGTTTAAAAACACATTTGATATACAGGTAAAGAAGGTTGACAATAAAATACAAAATGAAACAAAGAATCGGTGTGATGAGTATAGAAGGGCGAGTGATGATATTCAGTTGATGAAAGATACAAATAAACAGATGGAGTCTAAGCTCACGGAGCTAAATGGTCAGATGATAACGAAGGTAGGCGAGCTGGACGAAAGGACACAGGACCTGGATAGCAGATGTATGCAAGTGAAAGAGTCTTTGCAAGGTAGGTTTTATCTGCTTCCGTTTTTTTTAATCATTAAATCATTAACAAGTGAGATTAGTGTTAAGGGGGTTTGTTTAGTAGAAAATCAATAAAAAATCCTGATTTTTTGTTATAATGGGTTTCTTGCACTTTCAAATTTTTCTACATTTTTTTTTTCATTTAGAAAATAAAACTTTCATGAAAAATTGTTTCTTGTGTTTAAAATACAATTTTTATGACTTTATATATGAAAACAGTTTTACAAAAAAAAAAAAAAAAAAACAAAAAAAAAAACAACTAAGTTCTCTACGAAAAACTCGATATCGGTCATCATATTTTGTTTGACTTTTCTCTAAAGCTAGATTTTTCTGCGGTACTTTAAATTGTATTTTCCGTTATCTCGGAAACACCAGAAGCTTTTTATTGGCATTACATGTTATGGAAAAAAGTTATTTTTCTTGAAACTACTTCTCATTCTTTTTTCTGTTTTTCTCATTTCGCATACTTTAAGGCTAAAGATCTACTAAGTATTTGTTGTTCTATTAATAATAAAAAATGTGTGTCAAAGAAAATTAGAATTATGATGGCTTTCATTAAAAGAAATTATGCTAAATATAGTGTTAATTTTTAAAAAAATTCTATTAAATAGAGCGCAGTTTTTTTTTAACTAGTAGAATTCTGACCAGCAGCTCAATAAAAATTTATCGTGACTAAGGTTGTACTATGTAATGTACTGTGTAAATTTGATCGCTAAAAGTGCGTAAAAAGCCTCAGCGCTTATTAAAGTGAAGAAAAATTAAAACGACAGTTGTTATTAAGGTTTGCCTGATAACCAAATTATTATATATTTATAATAAGCAGATATTTAAAATTAATCAATAACATTTAAGAAAACTAAAGAAGAAAATATAGGAAACTGGATAAGTGAACACTGCTTCTTAGGCTTTAGCAAACTCGATTAACATCTGTCTTGTTGAAAGATTTTAAATTTGGGTAATTCTATACATATACTGCCCCATTATCACGATACAGTATGACAAAAGAAAACGAAATATTAAACTGATTGGTAATAAACGGAAACTTTGAGATGACAGGATTACAACTAAGAGGAGGCTGCTTTCACGGGGGGGGGGGGGGGTGTAGGGTAGGGTAGGGGTTGGGGGAAAGCGGGTGGGGGTAGTATCGTCCTTAACTACCTACTGATAGTGTTTTAAAGCAAATATTTTCAGTGGCAGCATTGGTACTGTCGAATTCACAAATTAAGAATTACTGAAAAGTAGAAAATAAAACAACTAAATAGCAGCGTATGATATGCCGCGGGTTGGCTCGTAAATTATAATTATCTAATTATGTGAAAATGTCGTAAGACTATAAGCCTACTCATAATAGTTTTTTTCTGTTACTTTAAAGCAAAAGTGAACCAGTTGCTCTCAGAGACGGAGGAAACAAAAACAGCTATAAAGCAGTGCAAACAAGATACACAGGAAGTCAAGCAAGTTCAGACTGACATCAACAATCAAATCAGTGCCACTCGATCCAAACAATCGTATTTCCAAATCAAGGTTGACCAGCTTGTAACCAAAATTAACAAATGTGAGGAGAAGTGTAGGATGCTGTCGACTTAAACAAAATATGTATGCCGTGTTTGTCAAGCGAACAGATGTCGACCGTATAGTTAAGGACGTGAGAACCGCATTTCAAGGACTGTGCTCAAGATTGTCAGTCATCGATGTAAATAGTCTGACATAGGACTCACATCTAAAAAAGAATAGACGGTATAGTTACGGATGTTAAATCCGCATTTCAGGGACTGTATTAAAAGTTATAGGGCACTTTTGAAAACTTGTCAACCGCATTAAACAAACAATCTTCATTCACGAGCTACTGAAAGTTTTTTTAGCAAAAAATATTTTCAGTCGCAGCATTGGGTAGTTCCGAATTCACTAACTATGAATTAGTGAAAATTAGAAAATAAAATAACTAAATAGCCGCCGCGGGTAATGTACGACGCGGAGCGGCTTGTTGAAAATATTAAAACTTATTTTAGAAACAGGGAAAGGATATTTTCTACTTGGGTTACTGTTTAAATTTTCAGCTGTTTTAGATTGTTTTGAAAATGTATCCAGAGATATATAAGTTACTTGTATGTGATGACCGCAGTTCATGAGAACGTCATCCAACATGTCCACGAAACAGAACTTTTTGTTTGATTCAAATAATATTAATTTAATTAAGAAAGACGACGAAGAAGAAGAAAATAAACATTCGGATTAATACTGTAACTGCATTTATTAACGTATATTATGTTTACTTGATTAAATGTACCAAATATATGTCATTAAGATTATTTATTTGTAATTATCGTTTAAAGTTGAAACCATTAAAGTGTTCAAATTCTTTCGGTTTGATTTTCCTAGCTGCTGTCAACATATTTTGTAGTTTAAAAAAAGCATTTTATTTCTTTTCAGTGGGTCGGGGAGTAGTAGTAAATATTTTTCTTTCTTTTGTAAAACTACGTAGTGTAGTTCATTAAATTGTGTCTTATTTTAAAATATGTCTGACAATATTATTACTTTTTTTTTAGCCAAAATGTGAATTTCTTTAATTTGTATATTTTCGCTATACAATTATTTAATTTTTAAATATGAATATTCATATTTTTTATCTTGTGTAGGCCTACTGATAAAAAGAAACGATATATATATATATATATATATATATATATATATATATATATATATATATATATATATATATATATATATATATATATATATATATACATATATATATATACATATATATATATATATATATATATATATAGGCTAATTGAGTTGTTATATAATTGGAAAGGGGAATGACTCATGATTTATTTTTGCCTAACAATATATAGAGGAAATTACTGGAAAAAAGACAAGGCATAATACCAAAATAAATAGTTTTGGGATTACGATGGATAGATTTTTCTGGAGATTTTAAATTGTTATCGTTATCCGTGTTTTTGGTGCTTAGCTAAATGGTATACTGTTAACATTTAAATTAATGTATATTTTAAATATTTTCTAATATGAGTTTTAAAAAAAAATAGTTTCCAAAATATAAAAAAAATGTACACCTATATGCATGGCTTAGTAAACATCTCTGGTCACGTGAAGTCCAAGAACTACTAAATCTGAGCACATACTGTATTTAAATTAAAAAATAATTGTTTGGCAGTTTGAATTTAAGAAAAAAAATGTTTTTTTTTAATTTTAGTTTTTCTTTTACAAAATGGCGAGGGTATTTTCTTTACTTTTCTTACTCTTTAATATTCAAGTCGATGAATACTTTATCTAGTATCTTATGTGGATAAATATCTACGCCATCATTGTAGCTTCCCACTTTATTTAATAAGTAGTAGATTGAGTAAAAAAATAAATTAATAAACTCAATTATTTAATAAAGAGTATCTGTTATTCTCTACATGATATTTTCCATTTACCTGTCCCACAATTTACCGTTCTATAACTGTTTTGTAAAAATAAAGCTTTTAAAATGAATGAGTGTATGTGTCAATAAGAAATATTACCATGTTAAATATATATCTGTCCTCACAAGCCGATCATAAAACTGTAATACAAAATGAAACCTAGGTGTCTAGACTACCAAGGCAAACTGAGGCTGCAATGTATAGGTCTGAAACAAAAAACTAAAAAAATAAAAATAAATTGCTGTTTGTAGTGATAGAGATAGATATGGCGGATGATATATGAGTTAGAAGAGATGAATTACTGAGTCAACATTTATGTAAAACTCTACAGTTGTTGTATAGCTTTAAACTTAGACACTAGGGTGAAAAATGTTACCAGCTGTTACTGTTTTGAATTCAATATTGTCGATCAAACACACGTCACTTACTGACGCGAGGAATAGATCGTAACAGATTGGCTAACCTCATATGACGACGTAAACTCAAACTGAAAGCGTTTTATCAGGAAATGAATGTGTCATTGCCAGCTAGCATGCTCAATAAATAAAGCAAAAAGATATTACTCAGGTACGATAGACGAAAGCTGCGATTTCGTGTGACGAGCAGAATAACTTGTGACGGCTTCTGTTCTTATAAACAGTTTTTGAAGTATCTGCCACTCTGTATCAATTTCAGTTTTGATAAAAGAGCTGATCTCAAGGAGGCAAGAATTTGAAACAATGGATATTCCCTCTACTTCTGACAAAATGTTGGCATCTGTTTTAGAAACTATCGAAAACCACAATAGATATTAATTTTTTAAAAGCAAACTACGATTCTATTCAAGGTAAAGTATTTTTTTCTCCATTTCGTATGTGTTTAAAAAGGCAAGTAGCATCAACGCTTCTAACAGTTCTATTACCTGTTTAAAAACTTGATAATGTTGCTTTTATTAAAATGTATATTACCGTCCGTTCGTCTGGATGTGACGACCCCCTTAAAAGATTATTTTATTATTCTTTTTTAGTGTTTACTAATTGGCAGTATTTTCCTGTATTTACAAACACATTTATATCAATTTTAGAATCTATTATGGATCAAAATTTTGCAATAAGAGACGTGAAACATCTTGATTTTGAGAGAAATAAAAATATGAAAAGACAAATGATTTTCTACGTAGAAAAACAAAACATTGGCACGAAAGTTTTAGGACGTGTCCTATTAAATTGTGTAAAGCTAAGTCAAAGGTTTGACGACCTACAGACACAAGTCCAGCAGCTCTCAAAAACATTTACGCAAACCACAGACACATTAAAAACACACATTACAAAACTAGAAGATGACGTAAAAGCAGAAACTAAGGATCAGAAGGATGAAACAAACAATCTGAGATCTGAAATTAAGTTAATGAAAGAAGCAAAACAAAAGACAGATTCTATTACTTTAGAACTAAATGATAAAATTACTGCTCATACTAAGCAGTTGGAAGTCAATTGTGCTAAAATACACGACCTTGATATTTCAACCAATGAGAAAATTAGTGGACACCAAAAAGCCATCGAGAATCTTCAAACCTGTGATGAATCTATCAAAGGTAAGGGCTTAAACTTTACTAACTTTACATTCCAGCATTCAGTTGTCTTGCGCCATCTACAGAAACTTTACCAACTGAACATTTTCTGATGTTGTTTTCGCCATTATATTTGTTACAGAACCTTTAATTATTTTAATGGCACTGTTACTTGTATGTACGATTTTGCTATTCTTAAAATTGTTTTAAATCCGCAAACTCAGTTGTTACGCCTCTGGGTAAAGTGCCTCAATTATTATGGTTAACAACTTTGTAATTTTGTGTCGAATGTTTAAATTTATTTATTGTAGGTTCCGTCCATGAAATGAAAATGAAATTGAAAGACATGGCTTTACAGTCGGTTACAGTAGAGATAGTGACAGATGTATTCAAGAAGCAAAACGAACTGTTTGCCAGTTTTAATAAGAAATGTGACGAGACGGTTATTAAGAGAATAGAAATCCAAGATAAAAAAGTTGATGAAGTTAAAGCCGAGCTGTCCCAGTGTCTAGTGGAATCTTCTGCGAAAAGTGATTCACTTTTGAAACAGCTTGATAGTAAAATATTTATTGAAGAAAAGAATCGCTGTGATGATGTTAAAAAGTTGGTCTCTGATATCAGTTTAATCAAAGACACAAACCAAAAAAGAGACACTCAACTTGAAGAACTATTTATGAAAAACGACGACTGTGAACATCAGATGACACAAATCTTTGCTAAGGTGGGTGAGCTGGAAACAAAGTCGAGGGAACTGGAAGAAAATCTTCTACTAGACGTTGGGAATTTACAAGGTAATTTTTTAGCGTTTTATAAACGGAAAAGCAATTCAATTTTACTTTTGGGTATTTAAAAACAATTATTATTATCATTATCTTTTCTTGTTTTTGCTAAAGATCTACGGGGCAGATGTAGGATTTATCTGTTTCAAATACCTCGGCATACTGATGGATAGTGAAGCGAGTACAATGCAATGCCGCCTTTATTTCCTTAACGTGAGTCAGGTACCTGTTAGAGCTGGGTGTACTCAAAGACTCGAGCCCGGGATCAGAACTCGAGTCAAGTGCTCTTCCACAAGGCTACGCCGTCCCCTCACACAATATCAAGTTATTCCATTAATATACGCTATAAGGACTGATTCAATCTTGTATTACTGTGTTTTACATTTTGTTTCCTAATTAAACTAATATTTACTTTTAACGTAATGCAGGTTCAGTTGACAGACTAGAATCAGAAGTGAGCAAACAGGATGAAACAGTTAAAAGTCAACAGGTTAAATTCGAGGAGCTAAAAGTTAACTTAAATAAACTATCAAAGTCTTTGTCGGATACAGCAACCGACTTTGAAAATAAATTACAAAAAGAAATAAAAAATAGAGTCGGCAAATTTAGCAGAGTGGAAGTTGATATTCTTTTAATCAGAGGTTTAAATAAAATCACGGACTCTAAGCTCGTTGAGCTAAAGAAGGAGAACGACGAGAATCAAAAGACCTTACAAAGTAAGTTGAAGTTTACCTATTTTACATGAGATAAAGTAGACGTCATCTGATTGCATTTATGTGTCGTATAAAGTATTGAGAGTAAGTTCGTGTCTTACCTCAGTTACCTTCATAGTTGAATACCCGATCAGGTATTCATTAAATCTGTGAATTCAGGTAAGTTGTACACATACTCGAGATTTAGTAGTGTGTTGTACACATACTCGAGATTTAGTAGTGTGTTGTACACATACTCGAGATGTAGTAGTGTGTTGTGCACATACTCGAGATGTAGTAGTGTGTTGTACACATACTCGACATTTAGTAGTGTGTTGTACACATACTCGAGAT